TCTCTATTGTCAAAATGAAGTCTTCAGTGTTTTCATTCGTTACTGCCTCCCTATTGGTCCTGCCAGCTCTCGTGGTTGGTCAACTTTCTGGTACAGTTGGTCCCACCACTACAACAGCTCAAAAAGCTGCGGTGAAGATCTGTAGCATTCTCGACTACGGTGGTGTTGCTTCTGCTACCACCGACAATGGACCTGCTATTTTGAAAGCATGGACAGCATGTATAGACGGAGGTGAAGGTATGCTATCTTAAAGTCTTCTTTGATATCGTCGTGCCATTGCTAACTAATCGCAAGTCTACATTCCCTCTGGAAGTTATGGTCTCGGCACTTGGGTTACCCTCACTGGAGGAACCGGTGTATCCATTAACTTGGAGGGAACTATCTATCGAACTGGGTAAGAGATCACGTCATTGATCAAACAATCCCGACATTTACTGACGAATATTCGTGCAGTACTGCGGGTGGAAACATGATATTCATTGAACACACAACCGATTTCGAATTTTACAGCGGTAACTCTAAGGGTGCTATCCAGGGTTACGGCTACGTCTTCCACTCGGGTCAGTAGTCCATTGTCCTAAAATATTCAAGTCTTTGTGCTAACTATATCTATAGCGGGCACATACGGTCCAAGAATATTGCGTCTCTACCAAGTTACAGACTTTTCCGTTCATGGTATCGTCTTGGTTGATTGTGAGTACTCACTCATTCGTCGTTGTCTGTCTGCGCTGTACTAATCTCTTCTCATAGCTCCTGCATTCCATCTCACACTCGACACTTGCACAAATGGTGAATTATACAACTTGGTTATTCGTGGTGGCAATGAAGGTGGTTTGGATGGTGTTGATATCTGGGGAACCAATATCTGGGCACACGATATCGAAGTCACAAACAAAGATGAATGCGTTACTGTCAAGGTACGACATCAATATCATCTCTGAGAAAAAGCGAATTTTCTAACTGTTCACAGAGTCCTGCTAGTTACATCCTAGTCGAAAGCATCTACTGTAATTGGTCAGGAGGAAGTGCCATCGGAAGTCTTGGTGCTGATACTGGTAAGTTTTGCTTCCCCTCGTCTATATTCTCTAACTAACACCTATCCAAGCAATCTCCAATGTCGAGTATAACCACGTTTACTCCCAAAACTGCAACCAAATGATGATGATCAAATCAAACGGTGGTTCCGGTAGCTTCACCGGTGCAACATTCAACAACTTCATGGGACATAGCAATGCCTACACCCTTGACATTGACAGTGCTTGGACCGGACAATCCGTCGTAGCCGGCAGTGGCGTTACTTACTCCGACTTGACCTTCTCTCACTGGCACGGTACCTGTGCAAACGGTGCAGCCAGAGCTCCCATTCAATTATTCTGTCCCGCTGCCATCCCTTGCAAGGACATCACCATCTCCAGTTTCTACATCTGGACTGATGCTGGATCTTCGGAGTTGTACAAGTGCAACAATGCTTATGGAAGTGGACCTTGTCTCAATTCTGGAACGACTTACACAACTTATACTTCTACTGGAACCGTCACTTCAGTTCCTACTGCGTAAGTCTTCTCTTCTATTTCTGGACTGTTAAACTAAAAGCTAACTCATCATTAAGTTCATATGCCTACACCACCATGCCTGGAGAAATTTCCTCGGGTCTGGGTATTACCGTTAGTATCGCCATCCCAACTCATCCCGCATCATACTTCCCAGGCATTGCTCCTTATAGCGCGCTCGCATAAGATGAACTCGTATTTTGAGTAATTCGTTGATTGATGTTCGCGGTCAATCGCCGCGATATCGTCTTGTATATCGAGCCTTGTGTTCGAAGTTGTAAATACTTTATTCCTTGTATATAGTCTTGCGCTTGAAAAATTGTATATATTACCCCAATTTTGTGTTCTTGTGTTCTTGCTTCAAAAATTTAACAGTGAGTCTTCTGCGTGTATGAATTTGGTTATATCGAAGCTTTGATTTTTGGTGCATAGCGCTTTATTTTGCAAGGGTGACGTTCAATATTCTATTCTTGCGCTAGAAAGTAAGCAACACTCCACTTAGAGGCACATTCCATGAGGTGGTGAACTACAAAGTGATTGGTGGACCATACTTAGATAGCGTGTCGCATACTTTCTGGCCGTACGAGCAGATTGGGGATTTAGCTATAGACTCTCAATAACAAGGTATCTAGGAGCAGTATAATACCAATGCGCATCAGAGTTTCGTATTCATTGAAAATTGATTGAATTCGCAAGCTGAACCCTTTTGATGTTTGATTGTTGGAGTGTAGTCCAGACTATTGAAGACCCTAAAGCTTAAACACATGATAGGTTTGGCGGGACATAAAGTTTCATGCAAGGGCAGTAAGTGGTAGAATGATAAATATACGTTTCGATGAAAGTTGTGTCACTATCACAATGTGAGGACCAATCAGAAAATAAGGTTCGGCAGATGCATCGGCAGCTGTTAGTATCTAGCTATTTCTTCAATAGTCTCTTCTCATTCATGCATGTTCTGAAGAATACGGTTGAACGAAGTCTGACATCTGGATAACAGTCCGAACTAGCTAACCTTGAACTTTAAATTCTAAGTCAAGATGAATTGGCAAAGGCTTGATAGTTCCGATGTTTATCATTTAGGTCAATGGTTTTGCGGATACCGTCGAGCTAAGTGCACTTGTGTGTTTGTGTGTTTGTGGGTCTGAGATGAAGGCCCCTTGTTTCACTCTGACTATGTTTTGTGTACCCATGTGTTCGTCTGACTTAATAGAGCCGATACCATCATGTAAACAAAGCTGTCCCTAGTAGCCCATACCCAGATGCGGCACAAGTGTTATGGTCAGAATATCAATTCATCCAGCGATACATAATTTTTGATATGTCCAAAAGCTCGCGAAGTAGCTAACTACCTCGAACCACACAAAGTCGTTGATAAATCTCCGATATCAAGAGACTCGGACTTCTAGGAACGGAAGAATTCTGCCAGCCAAGGGTATGCCTGTTATCATTTGAGTGAAACGAACTGTTGTTCTAGAGATCCTAGCTTCTGGATCTGTGGAGCAGTGTAGTTGACAAGCATTATTTTTCAAGATCATCCTTGATACGTTTTTCCTTTTTCCTTTTTCCGTCCTTTGTATTTTGAGTTACTCAATATTTCGGCTTTTTCGGACGGCGCGTATTTATCAACTTAAATGCATCTAAGTTATGACTTTTTCATGCGATTTTCTTGCATTACTTTCGGATAACCTTCCCGGAGACGCGCTACTTCACACTGCTTTATACCTGGCAAGTTGCACAATTCTTTTGTATTTTAGACAATATGATGGCGGCTTTATCTGTTTGCCATAGTTTATAGCTCACAGTACATCATGTAATTCTCCTTGGGAATTTGCAATACCTGTAAGGTTAGAAGGAAGTGCGCCAGCAAGAAATTGCCTGTGATATCTCGTCATTCCACCAGTAATCACGTCAAGGCCAACTCATTTTGACAGATGTTCGTTCAAGGCATCAAGTGCTTTGGTCATAAGCTGGATGATCAGTGTTTGATGTTTCTTTGTTTCGAACATTTTAGTCCGTTTACACTCGAATTGAATTGAAACTAATATTAGTACCTTAAAAGATACTACTTCTCTAAGTCTTTGTATGCGTGGGTCATATAAGAAGTGACTACAAACGCCTAAAGGTCGATTTTGCATTGAGTTCCCAAAATGTTTCAACATATAGTGTGAATCCAGTTGTCGGTCAGCTACAGTTTCAGACCAGATTCTGCCAGCTGATGCAACAGAGTAGTCAGTCCAGTGAACTCCGGAATTTCTTTTCACCAAAGTCCCAACAATCGTAATTCGATCGTCAGTGGAGTCAAATCTCACTTCAGTATTTGAGGTGATGGCCATAAATCTTCCAGTGAAGTCCGACCCATACTGTAGATTGCATTCATCTTACACGGGTAGCGCAGCTGAACGATGTCTCTTCGAAGAGTCAGGTGCGTTGAGAGCGTCAAGTTCAGGGATGTAGTGATGAAGGTTGGCGGATACTTCATGACAGAAACGCTCTGCCAAAATAACAATACGTCAAAAAGTCGACTGTGACAGTAGAACCTTGGGCCAGCCGATTTTGGATTCTCTCAAGAGATTGCAGTGTCAGATTGTTTCTGACCATATGTGTATCGGGTTACAAATAGGTCGCAATTCTGTATCTGCGAGAAACAATCTCCGAATCTGTTAGTTATTATTTTTCTCTGGAATAGATCTATCCACAAGATTGTTGTCATTGTATGAATGGTCTTCAACACGATCAACCTCGTTCAAAGAATGTAGTGATAAGACGTAGCTCAAGCCTCGAGATGATCTCTGTGCCTCCCTTTGCCTGCATAATATACAATGGGAAGTTCTCGACAGTTTCCATATCTATCCTTTTCTCTTGAGATTTTCTAGCTTGATAGCTCAAAAGGATCTTACTACCACAATCTTCGAAGGATTCAAAAGAGTCATATCCATAGAATAACAAAGGTGCCTGATGGGAGCTGGGTGAGTATGCCAAAGTGTGTGCTCTGAATTGTGCTAGGAGTTTTATTCCATGATATATAAATCCTCCGCTTGTCATCTTCGACAGCGCAAAGGCTTTGAAGTAGAGTTGGCGCCATGTCGGCGTGATAACAACGCAATACCTAGAAACTGATACCACAAACAAGTACTGACAGTGACTTGGTAGCGTAAAATTCGTGCCAAGGTCACTATTAACTAGCGTCGCTGCATCTTTATAAGCTAGCGTCAGACGATTAGCGACATTCAAGACGGGAGAGAAGAGAAGATCAACTGAAAGCACGTTGCGACCCAAAAAGCCTAATAGCCAAACCTTTCGACGCTAGTTCATTTTGGCAGCTATTCAACATTAGCCACCCCCACACCACCACACTGCTCCAGCGTTATGAGGCATACAAATTTAATGAATCACTTCACGTTAACACTTGCGGGAATTTTTTCAAGGAGAAAACTTATATTTAGAGACGAAAAAAAAAACGATGGCCTATTGATCCTCAGCAATCCATTCCTGTTTCAATAACAAATCTAGACAACGGTATTAAGCTCAGCAACAAACGACTGAGAATCTCCCAAACTATCGACAGCCTGCTTTAGGTGCTCTACTTTATCCAAGGCCATGTTTCGTTGCTATGCATGTCAGAAAAAATTCGATGAACTCTCAGGAAACTTACTTCAATTCCACTCCAACCAATCAATCCTAAAAATAATTTCTCTGGCAAGTTGACGCTCACACCACTCAGAATGTTTGTACCCTTCAATGCCTTTGCTAACGCTTCCCATGCTGTTCTGGCTGCAGTTTCTTTCTCGGAGTCTTCATGAACGTTGATTCTAAAGATTTCGATTACTGGGGACGCGAAGATATCTTTTGGTGAGATATCAGTCTCGTATAGTTCTGGGCTTGCTGGAGCAGTAAGATATGGCTTTATCTTTTCAACAAAGACTGGAAATCGTTCGCTCTGGACAATACTATGAAATGAATCCGGGTTCTCCCATTCTGTGCTATATTAGCCTATCAATTTCTATGGAGTCTTTCATCGGAGCACTTACCTATGCCAACAATTGGAATGAATGAAGACTCTGGTACAGCGACATTGTTTTCGAACAAGCTGTGTCCGGTTGTGCCAAGTTTGAAACCAGGAGCTGATTTTATGAAAGATCTAATTGCTGGAACAATAGTGTTGGCAAAATCATCACGTGATCCATCTGATTGAACAATTGAAGGCTTTATAAATTCGGTGAAAGGCATCTTGAAGATAGGTTTTGGTGATATGGAATGCACGAGTTGTCGTTATGAACCGATTGAAGAAAGAATATATAAAGCTGATATCAAGTCGACCAAGTGGTACTTATACCTCGATATCTGTGTCATATTGTCTACTTTAGTTGCGCTGGGCCAATATCGGGACCACATTGTATACAAGACAGAGCCAAAAATCTTCTTCGGCCCCGTTTACAAGACGAAAATTCAAGAATATGAATAATGGTACACCAAAAAAAAAGCAATGTAGTCAGTTCATCGCCGTGGAAATAATGAGGTAAGCAACCAGGTACCCACTTTGTGCTTACGAGCAGTGGAACTCCGCTGGAAGCTTATGTCCGTGGGCGACTACATCGCCTAAATCCATTTCGGCTCAAGCTATATAACAGCAAATCGGAGTGGAATTCCGCTTCAATTCTGAATAACTGTATTGCCCTCACGATAGAAAGTTCCAGGCTTAGTTCCATCGAAGTATAATAGATATGACTACGGTTTTAGTCCACCAAAGCAAGACTCGGAAGAAGGCGTGTACGGCTTGTGTCAAAGCAAAACGGAGGTGCGATTTGTTGTTACCAGTATGTTCCAGATGCAATATAAAGGATCTGAGTTGTGTTTATGTAAGTGAAAAGTTCGGCCTCATTGTATCATAGCAGCACCGTGATGCATAGAATGCTGAAAATGTGGATATAGGTGAATGAGGTATCGCGGAAGAAATCAACAAGGTCTTCACAACGCGCTAAATCAACCACGGTTTCTGTGGAGAGCATTACGACAGCACAAATCTTCACTGATTCGTATGAGGCATGTCTTGATTCGTTGCCCTACGACAACATACCGCTCTTGGATTACCAAGATCAACAATCTAACCGGGATCTTACATCGTGGAATTCCACCAGCAACACCGCCCTTTCTTTTCCACCTGACATATCATTTCAAATCACCAACCCACTTACATCACTTGATCCTCAGACCCTGTCTCTCTCTATCGATCAATTACCATCACCTTACTCATCTATTCAATTTCCTCCTCGCAACACTCTTTGCCCCGCTCAAATCACCTATATCTCAACCCAACTGAAATCATTCGTTTCATCCTTCGCACTCCACTCTCACAACTCTTTTATCCATCCGCTTTCATCTCATAATCTTGGTAAACCCCTGCCCGCTCCATATACCGATGCACTCTCTATCTGTGCACTTCATACCCTCGGCTCTCCTCATGCCTTCTCGATTCTCGACTCTAAAATCTCTGACCTTATTTCCTCAAGCGAAAAAGATTATTGGGGCTCATCCGAATGGCTTATTGCAGTTCAAGTCTTAAATCTTTATCAAATAATTCGTCTTTGGTCTTCAAATGAAAGACAAAAGAAAAACGCCGAAAGACACATACCGTTGCTGATGCAATGGACAAATCAACTACAAATTGAATATGTAGGATTATTAGCACAAGGTAATGATATGCGGCTTCCTACAGATAATTCCCATAGTATGGATAGTAAGCTACAAGACTATGCAGAAAGATGGGTACTTCTGGAAAGTATACGCCGAGCCGTCATGATTAGTATGGTTATACAATGCTTATATGGCGGGATGAAGGATGGGTATATAGGGGGATTGTTGCATGTATTATTTTACCTACCGGTCAGTGTTGATGCAGGTAAAACATGGGAAACTTTGGGTAGGAAGGTTCTCAATGAACAACGGACATGGGAACATCCATCTGACGATTCCACAAACGTCAAGTTTGGAGAAATTTATGCATATAGATATTGGAGCGAGAGCTGGACGATTGGGATTGTGGGAGGAGGAGAAATGGAACAGGAGGTTTATGAAAGGATGTTGTTGGTAGCCTGTCACAAGACTAGAGCGATTGAAAGGTGGGGAGGAGATATAGAGTCGGAATATGAAGAGGTAGAATTGTCGGTTGTTGGGAGCTTGGAGATGGATGTATAGATTTGATGGATTGGGTAATTTGGAGAATTTGGAGATTAGATTTAGAGGCGTTCCAGCATAGGCGTTAGGGTACATGCACCGCTCTTTCGTTTGCTTGATAATCGCTACACATAGCACGTCAAGTTATTAGATATTCCACTCGATATATAGAAGTTTCGGACAATTCAGGAACTGCAATGATCACTTTCCACCGAATGCTCAGAAGGTTCCACAAATTCTGAATGAAGAACGGTTTAGATACTCCTCAGACACGCTGGAACATACTTGGTTCTACTATTCCCCATCACGGAATAACAATCTAGCTAGACGGGTAACGGGTTCAACAATCCTCATGAATAATTAGACGGCAGATATTTCTCTGGAAACTAAAAGGCCCACTCTCTCGAAATCACAAAGTGTGTCTCGTAATTTCCTTCTACCATTCTCACAGCAATACACTATTTGCAATTGTAACGCAAGTCTAATTTTGAAAATCGTTAAATCATTTGGATATATACGTTAAAATATGTACTACGAAAAACCACCAAGACCCTATGCAATTATAGACATATCACACCCTTTTGAGCTCCCATTAAAACCTCCCAATTAAGCCTCCTCACATTTCTCCAAAGCCTTGTTGAAAATCTGTACAAAGTTCCATACATCCTCATACGTATTGTAGAGCGGCACAGGCGCCACACGAATGACATCTGGTTTTCTCTTATCGGCAACAATACCTGCGTCTTCGAGCATATCTGAGAGGGTTTCTAAACGTCCGGGTTTTAATAGAACGCTGAGTTGTGTTCCTCTTGCTGATGGATCGGAAGGAGTGATGATGCGGAAAGCAGGGGAATCTGAGGTATTGGTTGATAAGAGGAGATGTTCGAGGTAGGCGGTTAGATGGAGAGTTTTTTGAGAGATCTCAGCCATGGATGTTTGGTTGAAGATTGAGAGGGCGGCGCAGAGAGATGTGAGATCGACGACTGAGGGGTTGCTAACTTGGTAGCCGGAGGCACCGGGAGAGGGACGGAATTCTAGAGGATTTGTTAACATTCGTCCGAATGCAGTAGATGAGATAGAAAGAACTTACTGTTGTTCATCAAGAATCGACAACTTTGATCTCCTCCATACCATCCCATCAATCTATGTCTGTACTTTGGCTTCTCCTCTCCTTCACTGTAATCTACTTCACCATGTCTCTCATGCACATAGGCACCCGCGATACTTCCAGGTCCAGCATTCATATACTTATACGTACACCAAACCGCGAAATCGACATTCCAATCATGAAGTTGTAATGGGACATTTCCAGCTGCATGTGCTAAATCCCATCCTACCATCAATCCCTTAGATTGCGCATATGCTGTAATAGTCTTGATATCGAAAAGTTGTCCTGTGTAGTATTGGATACCGGGTAAGAGGAGAAGAGCGGTAGTGGATGCATGCTCGTCAATTGTACGGAGGATCTTCTCAGTAGAAATCTCATAGCTTCCTTCATCTGGTGCAATCATCACCATAGCTTCTTCAGGGTTATATCCATGTCCTCTAATTTGTGACTCGATAGCATAATGATCACTAGGGAATGCTTTCCATTCCATAATAATCTTACTCTTTTCAGGAGTAGGTGTGTAAAAAGAAGCCATCAATAAATGTAAATTGGTAGTCAAAGTACCCATAATCGCAACTTCGGAAGCCTTGGCTCCTACAACGGGTGCACATTGCTTGGAAGCATGTTCGGCGAGCAATTGCCATTGTGTTAAAGGAGAATCTTCCAAATCACGGAAATGACCATGAACAGCAATAGAAGACCAGGTGTCGAGATGAGCTTGAAGATACTCTTGAACACATTTAGGTTGGAGACCTAAACTATTTCCACAGAAATATATGGATGATTCATCGGAAAGACCTAATTGATTGTGAGCTGATATTCATATTGAGTCATGTGATATGATGGCGGGGTATGCGAGTAGAGGGCACAGTGTAAACGAACCTGGTTTTGCAAGCTTCTTTGTTTTGATGTTGGCTTTTGATGGAATAATGAATTGATCGCGAAATCTTCGCATATGATCTTTAGCATCAAGTGATTGCGCAAACTCAAGTGTATTTGCTTTGGATGGAAAGGTTGGCTTCTCAACCTTTGTCGATGGCTGTTCTTCCTTTGCTATGGAACCCATTTTGCTAAGATGGCGAAATCTGGTGGGAGTGTTGATATTCGTGATAATAATATACAACTACAAATTTGGTTGATGTTATATTGCGATGCAATTGTTTCTTTAAGAACAGAATGAGATGGATGAGACTGATCTGAATCAAAATATCAACGACAACGTCAAGTCTGAACACTTTGTAGGCGATCCTGTTCTTCGTTCAGTCTCATCGTGCTGTCATCGATATCCGTGTTCCGTCGGAATGAGCAAAATTTCCTCTGCATCCGCTTCCGCATCCGTGTTCCGTCTCCACATATTTAGCTTCCTCCTCCTATTCTTACGCGATAACAAATCACGCGCATGCTATCACTATTATCTGTGAATGGATACCGGTATTGTGGAAATGTGGAAATGCCCGAAACTCTCCTCGTCGTATATTATACGGGGTAACAGAAGTATGAGACAAAAGTAGAAAAGTAATACTAGTATCCTTCTGTTTTGAATCAAGAGTCTATTGAATTCTCACTGGTTGTTTCTATCATTATCCCAAATTTCTTGTATAAGCAAAAGTAAAAAGTTACAGCATAACAAAGCCGTGCTTGAGTTACCATTTTTGTCTTTCGTTGCATCCTGCTTCTCCGGCATATTCCTCAACAAAAGCTTCAATTCCTTTCAAAATGCTTGGTCCATTGAATATCAATCTCGCCGAATTTGGAGTTTCGACAGAGAATGGGTTTCTTCCAGATGTTAATCCTCTTCCACGATTGAGTGCCTACGTCGAGTGGGAAGATTTAGTAGACGAGATTCCCTTTCTACTCAAAGAAGGATTGTTCAGACAACATGCCGATGCTTTACCTATACTCGATACATCGAATCTACAAGAGGAAGATGAATGGCGAAGAGCTTACCATTTGTTGTCTTTCATGACACATTCATATATTTGGGGAGGAAAAGTTCCATCAGAGGTAAGCCAGCCCCAAAATCACAATTGACAATTCTTGTGCTAACAACAACAGTTATTACCCCCTCAGATATCAAAACCTTTCCTAGTCGTTTCATCCCACCTCGGACTTCCCCCAACTGCCACATACGCCGCTCTCAATCTCTGGAACTTCACCAGCAGCTCCCCAACACAAGATCTCACCGATCTAGACAAACTCTCCTGTCAACACACCTTCACCAATACCCCCGATGAATCCTGGTTCTACCTCGTCTCCGTCGCCATCGAAGCCCGCGGCGCAGAAGTCATCCCCTTAATGATAAAAGCTATGAATGCAGTCCGCTCCGATGAACCGGAAGTCTTAATATCCTGCCTCGAAAAATTCTCAGCCTGTATAAAAGACTGTGGTAAAATCCTTGAACGCATGTATGAAAAGTGTGATCCCGAGGTCTTCTATCATATCATCCGACCCTTTCTAGCAGGCAGTAAGAACATGTCCGCAGCTGGTCTGCCAAGGGGTGTATTCTACGATGAGGCAAATGGAAGTGGGGAATGGAGAATGTACAGTGGAGGAAGTAACGCACAGAGTAGTTTGATACAATTCTGGGATGCGGTGCTAGGTGTCAAACACGTACCCACTAGACCTATGGGCAAACCACAGAGTGAAACCGTGGAGCCCAAGAAAGGTTGTCATGGATTCTTAGAAGTATGTTTATCTCTTTCCCCTTTATCTTCACTCCATACCATGAACTTTCCCACTAACACCCATCCAGGAAATGCGCAACTACATGCCCGGCTCGCACCGCGCCTTCCTCAACCAAATCTCCGAAATCTCTCCCATCCACAACTATGTCGACTCCTCAATCTGTTCCTCCTCCGTCACAAAAGCCTACAACCACGCTGTGGAAACTCTCACCGAATTCCGCAACATCCACATCCAAATCGTAACACGATACATTATTAATCCATCTCGAAAAGCGATGGCTCAAGGCACGGAAAAAGAAAACGCGGGATTAAATTTAGCGGTTGCGACGACGAAGAAGGGAGGAAAGGATGTTAGAGGAACAGGAGGAACACAATTAATTCCGTTCTTGAAACAGAGTAGAGATGAGACGAGGAATATGGTTGTAGATGTTGTGGAGAGTCCGTGAATTAGATGAGGGACAAAAAGTTGATGATGTATATATGGGACGGCGTTGAGATATGATTCATGATATAGATAATAATACCCAATGACATTTTGAAGCAAACATCTCTTGGTTTCACAGATTTGGGGAGGAGTGAACATATAAGTCTTTGATCCGGTCAGCGTGTCCAGAGTCTAATCAATCGAATCATATCACCATCGGATGCCCACGTAGCCCCTGAATTCCGGAATCTGCACTACTCAAACTCCCAATTCATTACCACTCATCTGGCATTCACTCACGAAGCAAGTCATTCGCTTCTCTCCAGCCTTGAATTTTGTCAATTATTAACCGAGATCTCACCACTAGCCAAGAAGACAGAATTCCAACAAATTCATCTCCCATATCATCCTATCTTCCGACGACCTTTATTTCCATCTGACTCCCCATCAGAGCAAACTATCTTAGCTCTTGGTAAAGTTGGCACGAGAGTAAACGTGGTGAATCAATGGCTACTAGATCGATATCAACGAGTTTTCCTTGTAATTTGAACCTAACATTCTTCATGTCATGTATAAACATGTTGAAGCTTAATTACGATGAATGCCACTGCGATGAAACGCAAACGAGGGAGTCAATTCGAGATATAATCGCCCTATATAATTTGTTCATCTGCTCAACATCCCCCGCAGATCAAACTTTGGCTCTGCAAAGATATATCACATCATATCCTCAAGGGAAAAACGAAACCGCCAAATAGTGATATTCAATGTCATATATATTTCACATGTACTTATAATCCAACAAACACAAATACAAACTACGAACATTGCAGTGAAGGAGCACTTCCACAATCCTTTCTCAGGCTTCCAAGACTTTTCAACCACTCCCAAAGTAGTAAATACCCTCCCAGATATTACACAGCTACCTATCTACCTACATACAATATTAACCCTCTCTGCGCTTTCATATATATACATATAATAGTAAGATCACAACTTACTCTCCTTTCCCTTTCCTTCTCCTCCATCCGATCCCTTCACTTCAATAATTAATTTCCCAAATTGTTTCCCCCCCTTCATATCCTCAAATAACTCTTCTATCTCCGCTAAATTATCGATTCCTTTTACGACTCTCGATACTACTGGTTTGATTTTGTGTTCATTGACGAATTGAACCATTTCTTTGAATTCTTTTCGCGATCCCATTGTTGAGCCTTTGAGCTCGAGATTCATTAGGTTGGCAGGCATGGACCAGTCCATCTTGGGGGAGATGGTCATGCCGTATTGGACTATTGTACCGCCGAGCTGTAATAGAAAGTTAGTTTTTCTGGTTTATGAGATGATAGAGCTTGGTGGGTTGATTTCATCGGGGTAAAGAAGGATAGAAGAAAAATAAATACCTTCAACAATTTCGTCGCCTTCCTAACAATATCCCCTCCCGCCCCATCAACAATCAAATCTAATGATCCCTTCCCATACCCCTTCAACAATCCCTTCAACTCCTTCTCCCACCCCTCAATTTTATAGCTCACTCCCCCTTTCGCACCCAACCCCTTCGCCTTCTCAATCTTCCCTTGATCCCCACTACTAACAAAAACGTTACTCCCCAACCCCACCGCAAACTGCAACACACTCAACGCGACCCCCCTCCAATCCCCGTAATCAAAACATTCTTCCCCGTCCCCACATTCCCTTCTCCCCCCTTCACAACCAACGCCCTCCACCCCGTCAATCCACAGAGCGGCAGCGCCGCCGCCTCCTCATTGCTCAAATGCGCAGGCGCCTCTTCCACCTCCTCCTGCTCAATGACCACCTCTTCAATAAGCGTACCAATGGGAATCGTACTCGTGCCGCCTAGAATCTTATACCCGTCTGCATCTTCAGGGCCGAAGGGATCGGAATGCCAACCGCGGCCGGGAGTGAGGATCACGCGTTTCCCGAGCCAGGATTTCGAGGCGGCGGAACCGACTTGGGAAACGTAGCCGCAGGCATCGGCACAGAGGGGAGTGGTGAAGGAGGGGGAGGGGTAGAGATGTTGACGGAGGAAGAGGTCTCGGTGGTTGAGAGCTACCGTATGGATTTGGATTAGGAGGGAGGTAGGGGATAGGGAAGGGGTGGTATGTTGGGTTACTTCGAGACTGGGGGTTGTTAGAAGTGGATTGAATGGATTTTAGGCAGCAATTTGGAGATGAGGTGATTTGAGAAAGAAAAAGAAGGGAAAACACACGGATAGTAAACCTTCCCCGGTTTCCCACCCTCTATCTTCTGCATTGTAATCGCTCTTGGCATAGTGGAGTTTATTCCCTGAAGACTGTTATCTCTAGGCTTGTCGTCCTGCAGTGCAATCGATGAAACAGATTGTCCAAGATACAATCTACCCTCAATTGAAGATTCAACTATGCAAAGTAAACAATAAGGTTATCCGCACCCAAGCATGAAGAAAGATAGATTGATAAGCCATAGCTCCCCGAATCCCCACTCAGTACGCTAGGGATCAAACACCCCCACGTTTCCCGCATTTAGCCTCGGTAATAGCCCCGGCCCGCGAAAACGGAGGACAGGGGTAATTGTGTCACTCGGTAAGACCTCCGTTTAGCCGTGCTGTGCTCTATTCACATGAAATTTGCGGATCTCATCTTGGTGTTCGACCAGATGTCGTACAGTATCTAATCAGCTATCGGAGAGAGACAGGGAAACAATGTTCTTCAGAACCACCTCGTCTGGACATACTGAAAGGAAACACTTTTATGGGGACGACATGCACTCTCAGCGCGTACTAGAGCAGTAATGCGACATAAGGATGCTCGAGGTATGCTGCATGGAAAGAACTGAATTAATGCGAGATTATCGTCTCATATCTCCACAACATATGACTTTTCATGCACAATCGAGAACTCAATATTTGTGATCAAATCCCTGAACCATTTAACTTTTTCGTATCGGAATAATTCTACTCATACTTCGGACTTCGTACATTTTTGTTACCTAGACCGCAAGGTCCCCAACCAAGAAACTCCAAGAAATGCAATTCTAATCCTCAGCCACCCATTATTTTCTTCTCTTTCCACCACCACCACCATCTGTATCTGCTCTCCTCTTTTTTCCCTCCTTCCTCCAGTACTCCTGCTTTTCCTTCTTCTCCCTCTCCCCCCTCTTCTCCTCATTCTCCGCCACCTTCTTCCTATACACTTCTCTCCTCTTCTCATTTGCAACCTTTCTCTTTGCCACCTTGTCGTTTCTAAGCGTCATTAATTTCTGCATCAAATCTCTAGCTTTCTTTTCTTCTCCTCCTACTACCACTGCTCTCTTTTGCATATATGTTGGTTTACTCTGTTTCTTCATTTGAACAATTTGACTCTTGTATGGAAGTTCTGCAGCCAATGCACGAGGAACTCGTAAAGGATTGAAATGACGAGCTACTCTTTCGACAGGTTTGTAGTGACTGTTCTTTTGGTCTGGCGTAGGTAGATTTTGATCTCTTCGGACTTCACCGGTTAATCGCATACCTTCCCATCCAATGAGATTGGTGACTGGATTGTAAAACCTGTGAGGCTTAATCGGATACCAAGCCCGTAAGAAAACGATGTCACTCATGAGGATTTTATCTTCAAAGGTGGCACGGAAGTAACCTTCTGGCTTGGCCAATGCACGTTTGATCTGACCTCTGATACCAGAAACTGTCTTGATCGAGGCTCCTTCGAACTTGGCGATTTCCAATGACGTGTTGAACATGTCCTTGATGAAAGCCGTATTTTTGTAGATCTTGTAAGGTGTACCAGTAAGCTTGAGTTTCTTGACTGTTTCTGAAGATTCATCGACTGTCATAACAGTTCCAGTGGCAGCGATTCGGAAACCAGGGTTCTTGTTAGAAAATGATTGGTAACATGAGAATCCAGTATTGGGCGCAATGAATGGACCGTAGAATGTACCAAAACAATGCATATGTTCTGGAGTATACTTAAGCATACGATTTCTTGTTCGATTGTCCGAAGTACTGTAAATTGGGAGAGTTTGGAATCTTCTCCACCCCAGAGAAATGATAAGAGGATCATTTGTTTTAAGGATCTTCTTGTGCCATCTGTGTCTCTTGATCTTGACTTGTACAAAACCAAATCGATCCTCGGTTGGGGTCAAACCTCCCACAATGATTGGCATTCTTGGATTAAATCGAGTAACAAATTCAGATGGAACTCCTTCAATAACAATTTTGCCGTACATTCCGGCGCGGTAACCCTCAACTTGAATTCTTTGACTCTCGTCGAGATTCTCGAATTCGGATTTATTGATATCGAGTTGTTTTTGAATTTGTGCTTTCTGTGCATCATACCATTCATCCTCTCCAAATTCATCATCTCCACCAGCTTCTCGTCTAGCGTTAGCTTTATCGTTGTTGAACCCATCTCTGTCTTCTTCTTCGAATCGTAATTTAAGCTCTTCTTTTCTTCTAGCATTCTTCTCTCGTTCGGCGTCAATGTCCACTGGCTCGTCTGCTTTGTGTTCTTCGCCAGTTTCCAAATCCTTGAACTCTCCATCACCCTCATCATCTTCGTCTTCCTCATCGTCACCCTCATCATCATCACTACCACTGCCATTACCCTTACCCTTCAATAAATCCGCTGTCGCAAAACGTTGTCGAAGTTCTTCGATATTATCCTCCACAGACCACTTTGATTCTAATTTCTCATAATCAAGCAATGGAATTGCTCGATCATCCATGATTGCATCTTCATCCTCTCTACCAGTCTTCTTGAAGAATTCGTCTTCATCTTCTTCCTGTTCGATGTCTTCTTCTTCCTCTTCAATCTCCCCTCTCCATCTTTTGAGCACCTCTGTAGGAGTAAGCGACTCATCGTACATAAGTTTTGCCAAATCTGCAGTTCGGTAAGATTTTCGTTGTCCATGAAGTTTGCGTGCAGTCTCCAACATGTTTTGTTTCCAGCGAGCTGCCCCATCTTCATCATCCGAGTCTGAATCGTCTTCATCCAATTCATCCCCAGAAATTGAGCCAAGATCAGAATCACTGTCAGCGAATTCAATATCGCCACCTGCCTCATCTTTGTCTTTCTTGAATGCTTTTCCTAATTTGTCTTCGGTAATTTCTGCTTCATCACCAGAATCGAATTCTTCGTCGCTGGCAACTCCATCAAGGTTCTCATTGTCCGAAGCTTGATCTCCTCCTTCAACAAATCTTGCGCGTCTTTGATGTTTTCGTCCAGAATCTTCTTCCTCGGGAACCGACTTGATAGTTTCACCATTGCTGAATAATCTGACACCTTCCTCAGTCTCACCAAGAAGCCTTCTTTCTCCTTGTAAACCAACAATCAATTCTTCTCCCTCTCCGCGCTCGTCATCCTCGGCGTCTGCGTCGAAATTGAAACCCTTCTCGCGAGTGATCCAAATAGTGTCTCCATCAATTTTCAATCCACTCTTATCGGACATTGGCGCATGGAGTTTCTTTTCCTTCTCATCCAAACGTCTTCTACCAGTTTTTCCAGATGCTTTGGCAATTGCTGCATCCATGAATGGTGTAGGGCAAGGATCGGGTAGTGATTCCATAGCAGATACTGAATAATCTCCCAAGCCTGGTATATGGACCCTTTGACCTTGCGCCGCGAAATTTGTTCCTCGTAAATAACCTGACAAGACAACCGTTCGATCGCACTTCTCGTCTTCCTCGATTTTGGTAGGATGGGTGATATCCCTAAAACTATCGATAATGGTATAAGGATGGGTATTGCGCCAAATCAAAGGTCTTGGGTTCTTCATAACAGAAATGAATCTCGACAAGTTATGAATTTCTCGATCCGGATAACGTCCATTGATAACTCCAGAAAGATAGAATAGATGTGCACCCTGGTACAATTCGCTCCAAAATCGATTCTTCAGTCGTTTCTTTGCATCCTTCAAAGTTTGTGGTTTCTTGAAAAGATCAAGATGTGTGAGAATTCCAAAAACATTACCCGGCATACCACTCGAAGATAAAATGTTCAAGAACTCCATAGTCTCCATCTCGAAACCGAAATTTCCGTCAATCATTAACAATACGATATCTGCCACCTTGGATATATCCACCATAGCTTCGAGTTCGTTCGGACATTCTACAAATGTAAGTCTTTGACGCTTCGAAGTGACAACTGTAATTGGTCCTTGAGGGTCTGATAATGTCTCTTTCGCATATCGTTTGACTAAAGATTTGAGAAGAGTCGTTTTTCCAACACCCGGTGGTCCAACAATTGTAACAAGTCGTGGCGGCGGTTCTTCTGGCAATCGATCAATTTGAGGAACATGAAGACGTCTTTCTTTGATCTGCAAAAGTTAGTGACCTGGCGCATCAAATCCTAGATTTTCGAACATACATCATGCGATCTTGCAGCACTTTTTGCCAATCTTCCCGGGTTTGCGAAACTGAATGCTTTTGGGTTGCGCTCTATCAAACATATTAGCATATAGGAATAACCAATTGAAAGAAGAATTACTAACCTCCAGTCTGCTTCTTCTTCTCCTTAGGGGCCCTGTGAGGCCTATTCTTTTGTTCTTCCATAATTAATTGATTGAAGTAGTTGGAAAAGCTACTTTAATCCGCCGACGACATTGAAATCTTCATCAGATTCGAAATATTTTTTTTACCTAGCATCGGAAAAATTAGCACCGATCATAGACGCTAGGCCCACTACAGTTAGCACCTGTCCAGAATCCATCCTTATCCCTTATCAGATTACAAGGATTGTGAAGGCGGAAGAATCTGGATTTGATAAAAGTTAATCTATGGACTAGCAACGGCTAGCTGCTGCTAGCCGGACATATGGAAGTATAATTGGACCGTAATAGAACCTTGATAAGGTGACGACTTGCTGTCGCGCTTTTGTTATGGGATAATGCACAATTTATATTCATCTACACTTTTAAGCTATCTGTTCTTCTCTAATCACGAAGTCCTCCCACCACCTTCTATATTATTGTAATTCAAGTTTCCGCCCCTGATCAAAGATCAAGTTTCCGTCTTCTACACCTTTTCCTTCCATAACCCCCAGACTAGGGTTAACACAATTTTGCAACCACCAGCGACCCAGAGCATGGGACTAACACTCTTTGTAACCTTGCTAACCCACCCTCCAACAATCGCACCTACCATGGTCAATACAAAAGCGATCGCTCTTCGATTTCTCTTCGGGTTTTTCGTTAGGGAAGTAAAGAGAAGAGGATCGGATAGCAAATCGCAGAGAAGCGATGTAATGACAATAGTAGGGACTTCTCCCACGCCTAGGAAGCGAGAAGAGACGATTTGACCGGCTGCTTCTGTAAAATTGTTAGAATGACATTGGTGTGGATGTGAGCCGAAGAAGAAGGTTCCAGATGCAAGTCAAAGTAACAGAAAGTGAGAGGAGTTGTGAGACCATCGTGATTGCGACGAACCAACAGGGCAGAAAATAAATAGAGACCAACATACGAAAACTTAACAATGCAATCGGACCAACCTGGTCCCAATGAGTCCCCAAATCAGCCGGTACATTGCCTTCAATGACGAAGCCCTGAACTAGACTAGCTGAGAGCAAGATGCAACAACTCTGGATTAAGAACGAGGCAATGAGAGTAGTCCGTTGAAGGGGGCCACAGAAGCGATGGCATCGTGAGAAAGTAAAGGAGCCAATGCAAAAGAAACCAATCGAAATGAGTGATCTTGCCCAACCAAAAGGTCGATTGTTCTGACCCGATGCACCGAGAGCTACGAAGATTGTATTGCCTGTACCATATTATCAGATTAAAACGCGTCCAAAAGAGAGAGACGTGTAAATGGCGTGATGTGTGGAGATCCTTCGTCGTTACTTACCAGTTTGCATAGACACGAAGGTCTTGAAAGCTATGATTGATCGTCAGTCACTGTCCCTATCTCGAAATCTTTGCATGTCTACCATACCATTATACAATGTGCTGTCTAGAAATCCAGTGATGAGACAACAAATCAACATGAGAATGTCTGCATGATCTGTGCTTACTTCTTGTGCGAAGTGTTTCTTCATTTTCGCATGAAAGGATTTCTCAGTAGGATCACCGGGTCTCGTGATGTCCATGCTGTTGTGATGTGGCAATGCCTCTCCAACTTCCTTTGACATCTTGATCTTCTTCTGGTTTAATTCGGTGAGATTTGTTCCGAAAATTCTTTCAGATTAGAGAAACTTGAAATTTGGCGTCCGAGGAAGGGAGCGTAATAAAGCGGGCAAGAAACTGAACTCCTTGGATTCATGGATTCATGAGCAGATAAGCGCCAATCCCCCTCTTTATGAAATGCGCATCAGCGGCGTTCTAATTGACGAGACATCAAGGAGGTCTGATGGAAGACTTTTCAAAGGAAAACCCCCCACGCTGGCGAATTCAATTAATTTAGGTTATCGAGGTAACATCGTTTCTTGCCAAGCCGGAATATCCTCAATTTGTCTCCGCTACCCGTGAGTGAAGAGGAGGTGGGAATTATTTCTACATATCGTAGATTGCGGGGCCACAACGCTTTCGCCACTACGCCAATTATTTCCAAGATGAGTGAATTAATATGGGTGTCTTGAGAAAAGACTCGGTATGACATTCGCAACATTATCACCTAAACCTTATCTCCTAAATCTCCCTAATGCATAGAACTCGGGTCAGTCCGTTATCTTAATCTTGCCTTGGCACTTTGCGTGCTCCATAGTCGCTAATACCCGTTGAAAGGCAGTGGAGAACTATGCGAACCCCTTTCAACTTTCCGTAGATGTGCCCAAACCTGGAGATTATACTCTCATTTTTCACCTGCTGAACCACTGTGTAACAAAAACTATACACACCGCGTTGCTTGAACTTAGCACATCGTTTTTTGTCAATAATGATAAATTTTTCTAACAACATCACAGGTTGATTTATTGTCGATTTCTTGTACAATAGGGTGGAATACATGTTGTGGATAGGCCAATCTTGGCTTGGCCCGCTTGGCTCTTGGAGCGTTTCTTCAACAAAATTGAAAAGGGCCTTTTTAGCGCTGTAACCATATAAGCAAAAAGCGCAGCTGAAGGCTGAAAATTTGATACTAAAGGACAATTGTCACACCGAGCGGACCTATCAAAATCCTTGTGATCCAGGCCGAGACCTCGAAATACGAGTGGATGTTATGGATATCTTGACTTATAAGACATCAGAAGGAACTCTATTGTGTGGAGCTGATATTGTAATCTCTTCGTAAGCTCATGCAACTGTAGAGGAGGTACTGAATGACTTTCAATTTTCAAACGATGAGAATAAGCTTGAGGGCAATTATCGCCAAGGGCTGGGTACTTAGGAATTATTCGGCTTTAAATTTTCCTGTAGCCCTTGGTATTACTTTGTAGGAAAGATGAATTTGTTCTAACAATGCTTGCATCACTTGGTATTGATTTGAAGAATAACGGGTCTTCAAGAAACTGGAGCTTGATCCTCCATGTATGCCTTGGTATTTCTTTGTATGGCAGGGAATTTGATTCATGCTCTTCCTGCAGCTCTTGAGTCTTGGTGTAATCTTGAAAATTGCCTGCATCTGATGCCGATTCTTCATGTATCTCTCGGTATAACCTCGACGGTAGTAATGATACCCGCCGGCACTCGCATCAGAATGGTGATAGCCAATCTAATCTATGATATGTGATAAGGACGTGACATTGCGGGATTTTCTGCATCTACATCCACGAGGATGTAGAATACGACTCAAAATACAGTACCAAGACGTTACATTCTCATCTTCCTTCTGCGAGGTGATACATTGGGTATCGATCAGTGAGGTCGAGATTCATTTCCTGGACGCATCTCGTCTTCGCTGGCGCTGAATGGACGGAAAAATAATGTGCAGGCAGATGCGAAGAGGCAAAGAAGATAGATACAGAAGACCGAGACCGAGGAGATGTCGTCGGAGAGATCTATAAAAACCCCTTCAGTCCCCGCTTGGAGTCACCTCGATCATCAAGCACACCAATAGCACAGTGATATCTGCAATACAATCATCAACAACAAGATCACTACTTACTCTACATTACACTTGACAACATTATGGCTCCCATTATGGAATCACTCCCAATCCTCCAAGAGAAGTCTATGGCGACTGTGACTGAGTATTCGGTATGCAACATTCATCACAGTAGTTGCTCAAAGAGTCAAAGCTAATGATGATTGTCTAGGTTCCAAGTTCGCCCGATGGTGCTGTTACACCTTACGATGGGAAAACTCATGTTTTCAACATTGATATGCCTGCCTACTCAGACAAAGTCATGTTGACATTCAACAATGCGGTCAAGCAAACCACAGGGTTTGAAAGCGGTGCAACAAAGTTGAAGAATATGCTCAGGGACTCCAATGAATTGATCGTTTGTCCTGGTGTTTATGATGGTATCTCGGCACGAGTTGCCCTGCAAGTCGGCTTCTCAGCCCTTTACATGGTACGTTTAAAGTTCCATGGCAGCACTAGCTACCCGTGGGGAAACACGTTGCTAATCTTCGGGTTCAGACAGGAGCAGGTACCACTGCCTCCCGCTTGGGCATGGCAGATCTTGGCATAGCCCAATTGGCTGATATGAAGGAACATGCCGAGATGATTGCAAATCTTGATCCTTATGGCCCACCTTTGATTGCCGATATGGACACAGGTTACGGTGGTAAGTGAAACTGTGCGCAAGATTCTTCACAAACAAATAGCTGACCCTTTCTCCAATGTGCAGGCCCTCTCATCATTGACAAAGCCGTCAAATCGTATATCAGAGCCGGTGTTGCTGGATTCCACATTGAGGACCAAATCCAAAACAAGCGTTGTGGACATCTTCAAGGCAAAAAGGTTGTTCCAGCAGAGGAGTTCTACATGAGAATTCGTGCAGCCAAAGCAGCCAAAGAGGCCATGAACTCCGACATTGTGTTGATCGCACGCACAGATGCACTACAACAACTTGGCTACGATGAGTGCGTCAAGAGGTTGAAGGTCGCTCGGGATATGGGTGCTGATGTTGGTTTACTCGAGGGTTACACCTCGAAGGAGATGGCTGCAAAGACTGTAAAGGAGTTTGCCCCATGGCCAATACTCTTGAACATGGTTGAGAATGGCAGCACCCCAATCATCACCACCAAGGAAGCACAAGAGATGGGATTCCGTATCATGATCTTCTCTTTTGCTGCTCTCGCTCCAGCATATTTGGCAATCCAAGAGACTTTCTTGCGATTAAAGAGGGATGGTGTCGTAGGAACCCCCAAGAACCTGACGCCCAGGGCTCTGTTCGATGTTTGTGGTCTGAAGGATAGTATTGTGGTTGATACTGCGGCTGGTGGTGGGGCTTTCGCGGATGGTGTTTGAGTAGATGTAGTATCTTGTCCATATTCCCCAGTTTGTTTAGTTTTCTTATGTTCTACTTTAGTACCTCGTCGGTACTAGATATGGTGCAAGTATATTATAGGGGTTTCGTCAAATCGTCAAAGTAGATTTTGTTATATACACAATATATCTTACTGTTTCTTCTTCTTCATCATCAATGATATTCTGGACAGCGAATATGTTTATAATGTGCACGTATACCATTCAATTGAACCGTTATCATCAAAGGACCTGCTTGGACAGGAAGGTGCCAAATTGTGGCGTTTGTGGCACTGATCGAGAGTTGTGGCACCGCGATAAGGTTACTATAAATAACTCCACTCCATCATTTTGACCCAGATGGGAGATGGGCTACTAGTAGATAGCTTACCATCTTGCTGGTATGTATGGGGAAGCTGGTATTCGGATGCCATACTGACTTACCAAATCCAGAACACACTAAACCCTCTTGGATTCCAGGTTTCCTCTTATTTTCTACTCTGTACTCAGATATTCCCTGGCGGAACAATCAGCAGAAATGTCCAATGCTCTATCCACTTTAGAACTAACGATCCCACCCATTCACCCCTTCCAAGGTTTTCTCATCTCTAGTAGCCTGCCTTGTCGAAAAAGCGAGGATTAGTAGATTGAGAATGGATCCCACCTAGTCGTACATCCAGATCTCATTCCAGGATGGGGAACGTGTGTTTTGGATTTGACGAGTTTAGACGGTAGTGGGCTATTGGCTGCCATTGGACCAACTTTACAGCTGAAGATATGCAGTGGCACCTGATGAAGAATCTCATGCAAGTAACATAAAAAAGGGTAAAATCTTGGTAAAATGTACGGAGACTTCATCTCCCCCTATAACCAATGGAGCCAGTCTACTCAATTATCTGCATACCGGTATGCCTCATGATAGCCTTGTGGGCCGGTCTCGAAAGCTTATCCCCTCCATGATTACAGACGTGTCAACCCAAGAGATGACGTATGAGTAGGCCATCATGAATCGTGATAGAGGTCCCCTCCATCTGCTTGGTAACATGCAACCCATCCCACTTGAAACCTTTCTGCTCAAAATCTATATAAGACTTCATCTCTACCTTCGTGTTTTCATCCTTCCCTACTTATAAAATATATATCGACCTACCTAGTAACTAGACTTCATAATCTTGATCATTCAATACACCTTCAGACACATACCACCTCACTGAACCCCTCATAAGCCAAACCATCACCATGTCTTCCTACATTGTACGAACGCCACGTCCATTCCTGACATATATGGACATACAACTGACTCACTATACCTAGGTCGGAGTCAAGAAAAATCTTTCAGAGGAACAATATGCTGCGTACGAACTAAAAGTATCTCCAGCGACGGCATAGCAAATTACTTACAGATATTGTAGAGCCAGAAAGGCCATCGAGGAGCAAGGGTGCGAGGTTAAGAGCGAATACGACCGCACCGGTATCTCGCCAGGTTTTGTGTAATACATTACAGATTCTTACTTGTGTATTCTCTTTCTGACATCTATGTAGTGTTGAAATGCCGGAAGGCACCGTCTCAACCTTAGAAGCGCACGACCATGTAGAATTTGTGGAAGCAAATGGCACGGTAAAAACCCAATAGAGATAGACGTCGAGTGAAGAAATATGACTATTTTTGAGGTGGAATGGGAGTTTATGGAAGCATTATGCATTCATCTAGTAGTAGAAAATCAACTGAAGTTGGAACATTCATACCGTTTTCCTCCAAGAATTTCCTACGTGTTTGTCTTATGTTTAGCGAGTCCAGTGTCGACAACGGAAGAATTGTACGCCATGCTGTTACGAACATTCACCATATTCCCCAAACCCCAATGTCACCATGAATAATTGTTTTCGAAATTTGAGCTCTGCCCGGCCTGCAAAGAGATGGCTTAATCACCCTGGATCAGCTTTAAGATATGCCAGCACCGCCCGTTACCCATCGCCATCAGCTCATAAATGGTCACACCCTCCAAGCTCAACCACTATTGCAGACAGCGAAATCGCGAATCTTGCAAGCAAACCTCTGCATACACTGAGCTTGGCAGATTTGGTCAAGTCCGTGATATCATTCTCGATTGCCCAAGATACTAATCTATTGACCAGACATGGCCGCCCATCCTTATCAACAGAAGCCTTGTTTTCATCTGCGAATTTCACGCTCGATCTCCTTCCCATCCGTCTTGCGCACAGAATACAAGCGTTGCGAAATCTGCCATTTATCGTAGTATCAAATCCGAACATCTCAAGAATCTACAATAATTATCTCCATTCATTATCCACCCTTTTACCATACAAAACTATATCTACCTTGGAAGACGAAATAAGGTTTACGGAGGTGTTAGCAGATTTGGTGGAAACACACTCGCACACAATTCCAACTCTTGCAAGAGGTTTTCTTGAGTGCCGAAAGTACATAAGTCCGTCTGAGGTGACACGATTTCTGGATGAGCATCTTCGTGCTCGGATAGGTACTCGATTAATCGCGGAGCAACACATCGCATTACATCTCTCATCTCAACCTCACCAAATGGGGCATTCCGAGGCGGAGCCATCATCTTACATTGGGGTTATAGATACAGCTTTAAACCCGGCGTCAATAGTGAATTCATGTGGAAATTTTGTCTCAGAAATCTGCGAACTCAAATACGGCGTCCGACCAACTTGGATCATCGATGGAGAACCGGAGACAACATTTGCATTTGTGCCAGTCCATTTAGAATACATAATCACTGAATTACTCAAAAACGCGTTCCGTGCGACCGTCGAATCTGGTAGGTCTAATGAACCAGTAGTCATAACAATAGCTGCAGAGCCAGAGCTCTCTACGATAAATGATCCACAGAGTAAGTCTAGCCCGGGTGCATTTCTGGATGGCAACCCCCCAATCAAACCGTTTGAAGATTCCGCTCCTGGTGTTACCATTCGTATTCGAGACCGAGGAGGTGGAATCAGTCCTGAAGTATTACCAAACGTATGGTCATATTCATTTACAACATTTTCGGAAGAAGACGAATTACCCGGGCAAGGCCACAGCAATGGGAGCATGGATGCTTTGAATGTTTTATCAGGCGCTGGGGGTGAGAGTAGCTCGATTGCTGGGCTAGGATACGGGCTACCACTTGGAAGAGCATACGCTGAATATTTTGGGGGTGGCATCGAAATCCAATCGCTTTATGGATGGGGCTGTGATGTTTATTTGCGACTTAAGGGTCTCGGAAGACCAAATAAGTAAATAAAGCCGGTGGCAAAATAAGTCTTTTCAAGGATAGAATCCAGCTTCGGTCGACAGAAATTATTGTCGTTGAATCACACCCAATTGTTTTTTTAAGGTGTGGTAGAAGTGTGGAAGCGGAGTTTTACAGGGTTACGGAGTGCGTGGATAAGCACTCCCTGCGTTTGAACATGCGCCGGGCGCTTCATTCGCCCTTGAAAACAATCTAGGCAATGGCAACCTTTAATGAGGCTTCCAGTGCCCGTAAATCCATCTCTTTATTTTATTTTTTGTATTTTTCTGCATAGTTCTTTTTTTATTTAGTATGGAAGGTCTTTCCAGTGCTTCAGCTGCCTTCGCTGTTATATCCCTCGCCGTCCAGTTAGCCGAAAGTGTCAAAAAGCTAGTTGAGTTCTGGCAGGCTGTTGAGGATGCACCAGGAGAAATTTGTGACCTCTTCAACGATTTGGAGCTTTTGTCGGCGGCCCTAATACAAAATGAGAAAAAGTTTGCTCAGCATAGTCCCTATGATCCGATTGCCAAGCGAATCTTAACCAAATGTCAGAAGAGAGTTGGACATCTTTCGTCAAAGCTGTCTCCTACGATGACCGCATTTAACTCATTCTCATCTCGCAAGAGGAAGTGGGCTGCTCTGAAAATTACTTTGAGAAAAGAAGAAATCAGAAAAATGCGTGAGTCGGTAGGAGAATCTTTGGTGGCCGTGCAGATGATCAAGCAAGATGCTATTTTGTAAGCTATCCATCCATCATTCTTCAAGAGGAGAGACAAGCAGAGCTATTGAATGCCTGTTCAATTAAAAGACTCTCTAAACGAACCTACCACGCCTATTAAACAAAGAAATTTTCTGATCTCAATAGTGATATGGTGGAAATGGCTCTTCGACATCAAGAAGCTACCTCGAAAGGCATGAGCGCGATTCAGGAGTTTGTAGTACAATACTCGCAAAGCCACAGGCATATGGATAGGTCCACATCGTTTCTCCCCTCATATAATATGCCCATACTCTCAGCGGGCGGGGATACTTCAGATGCAGGCCTACCGTATTTGTGTCAAGGCAATAAAATTCATGTCTGTTCCCAGACTACTGATACCGTGGTTTTGCGGAAAAATCTATCTGCGCCCTCGGGAGGAGTCTCAGCCAATAATTCCAAGGAACAAATCACTGCTCAAAGGGTTTCTAAAATGCAGTCGTGGGAGGCTGACGGCCAGACACCTATCTTCTCATTTCGAGTCAGGTCCTCATCGACGAAAAGGACAAGTAGACATGTATTGGGTTCTCGGGAGACCGTTGAGACAAAAGTTGGCGTAGTCTTCTATCCAGCCAAATGGTTACATCGTCTTGGTGTAAGTGTGGGGATTCGCATGTCAGCAACCGTTGATAATGGTTGGATGTTCACATTCAATTCCTTTGGTGCTGTTCCCGAGGATGCATTGATTTTCGACCTTTGTCGACAAGGTAATGTCGCCGGTGTCAAGATCCTCCTGGATCGTGGCGATGCATCTCTAGAATGTGAGAATCCGCTGGGCAAAACGCCATTATGGGTAGGCCAATTTCGCACAAATTCTTGTATTTGATCACTCACACATTGCAGACCGCAGTCAATTATGGCCAAGTAGACGTGGCGAGATTTTTGATTTCCGCTGGAGCCAAAGATACAGCTACTGATATCAACCTATGGCGAAACCCCCTGGTACTTGACGCTCGATTGAAAATTGGCATGGTTGAGACTTTAGAATTTTACTCAAAATCCAAAGACGATGATAGTAAATACGGTACTATTGGCAGGATGGCGATGTTCTACACTCCAAGCAAACAGCCCAACATGACTCAAGAAGAACTCTCCGACAACATGTTATGTGTATTTAAAGCTTTAAATCCATCTTTACGCACTGGTAATGCAGCTCAGGCGAGCTACCTTCGAGGAATGGTATCAGATGGTCACGCAGGAAAGCTCATACATTGGTTGATAGGTAGAATCAAGGGAGCTCTCGAAATAGAGGAAGACAGCATTAGTTCCTACTCTTTACTCCACTATTTAATTGGGGCCCGGTTCCTTCATAGAGATCAGCTTTCTGTGAAAATGATTATGGAGAGGACAACAAACTTACATATTTGCCATGGTTACGGGTCTTGGGGCCCACACGAACCACAGACCCCAACAGTTCTGGCTATGTATGACCAAGACATGTTCATTCCATGGCGGAGGCTTCTTCAAGAAACAAAACAAGACATGAATGCGTTCATCGAGCGGGAGCTCGATGCTAAACTTTTGCCCTCCATGGGTTGGACGAAAGCAACACTAGAGGCCTTGTTCCGACACCACTTCAACACACCCATTTACAAGGGAAGGAGAGCCTTCAATGGGTTTCCTGAATGTGACAGATGCAAACATCTCAGTGTCTCAGTTGGCATGTATCGCGTTAAGATCGATCTTGAATTCAGAAGACAACTTCGAGAGATTAGGACTGGTCGTGCTCAAATGCCCCATTCCTCGCATACAAGACCTGAGAAGGATGGCTCGACCTCGACCGTAATTGCTGACAAAAGTGGAAAGTCGATACCAAACAGTCAACGGAAGACGTGGCTACCATTACCTTATCGCTTTGTATGTTCCGATAGATGCCGTGATCGCGTTTCTGTCCATGATGTATTTGAAAATGATTCAGAGGACCTACCAGTATTTCCACCATATGTCTCCGAGGAGGAACAATTGCGACTAGAGCACTTACGCTTAACAGAGGAGGAGGCAAAATGTCCTACTTATACGATGCCCGGGGCTTTTACTTCATAATGCTCTTTAATGTTCTCTCCAGATAAATTCCATTAATGATTCTTCACAGCTTCCCAAATGCTTTTCCATGCCCCAATCCAAATTGAAAATTAGGTTGCTTTCCGGAATCAATACTTTCCGAAATCTCTATCTATATCGACCTCGAAATTATCTCTTGTAGTTCAGTGTTCAACTTCTTGTTTGATAATCAACTGATTATTTCGATTCTTCGATTTAATTGGTTGACGTGGTAGGCGCGTAATCTCCAGGGGCCTGTGGATTTATTGTGTCGGCAACCCTGTCATGCATCTTCGCTTCTGCATCCTACCACATCGAATAAAATGATTCGATGTCAGCAGAGGATGCGCGTTTCAGCTGCATGAGGAGGGCGAATTTCGAATTTAATCCTTTGTCAGGCTATGGGGGCAGTGCCAATTGTCTCGACTGGGTATAAAATGTGTGTGCCTTATATAAGGCTTCTCGCACAATCGTCCTATTTGACTATAGGTCATTCTTCCCGTTACTTTCTAGCAACATCATTCGTCATGGATGGTCTTTCTAGTGCTTCCGCGGTGTTTGCTGTTGTGTCTATTGCTGTCCAGCTTGCAGAGACTATTCATAAGTTAGTCGACTTTTGGAAAGCGGTCGAAGATGCTCCGGATAACATTGCGAGTATCTTTCGAGAACTTGGACTTCTTTCCAAGATCTTGACACAAAGTCACGAACTAGCGCAACTCCATTCGTTTTCTGATATATTCGACGAAGCCCTGAAAGATTGTTGCTCCAAGATTCTCAAACTTCATTCCAAAGTGGAAGACACGAGACGGAACCTCAGTTCTTCAAAAATACGAAAGCGGAAATGGGCTGCTTGGAAGATTGTGTTGCAGAAGTCTGAAATAGATTCTTTACAAAAGTCTATCTCGGAAGCGAAAACAAACATACTACACATTCAAGTCAACAGCCTTTTGTAAGAATTTTAGATAGACATATATTGATGGATGCTAACTTGATATTTGGTAGAGCGCGGGCACCTTCGATATCTAACATTTACCAAATTTTTCAACAGAGCTCTGAATTGAGCACTCAAATATCTGGAAGGATGCAAATAACGGAACAGCAGCTAGCAAGGATTTCAACAGAAAAGCAGGATCCGTTGAGTCTGTCGGCCGGATGCCATGAGAAAAAGCTAGCGCACTTCTGCCCTGACTCGATAGGACAAAGATTGACTTGGAAAGATGACGATAAACAATGCAATAAGCCGCCACTTGAATATGCGATCGCGGTATCGCCCAAACCAAGAGCGATCGGTTCACGAAAGCGCAACGTCTATGTTTACAAGAGACGTCAGATTAATGGACCATTTTCGAATTTCTGGAAAGAATCTATGAAAACTACGGAGGAAGTCGTCCACGCATCTGGGGTCAAAGAAACCGTGGAAGAAGAATCTCAACTGATCATATACCCTTCAAAGTGGCTTGCTAAACTTGGTGTTGGATATGGCATCGAGTTGTCTATTCTAGCATCAAGAGGATGGCGATACTCTTTCCAGCCTTTTCGCGCAGTTCCTGAGAGCTCTTTAATCTTTCAATTTTGCCGTGAAGGTAATCTTGGTGGCGTCAGAACGCTACTCAGTAGAGGAGACGCTTCTCCTCATGATAGGGATCCATTGGGTCGGACTCCATTATGGGTAATACTCTCGTTTGGGACATTTTTGAACGATCATTGACGTAAAATATCCAGTATGCCGCTCTCCATCATCAAATGGATATATCCAAGTTACTGCTCTCGGAAGGTGCAGATGTACAGGTAGGGGAATGGACAAAGCGAGTGTAAGATTGTTTTCCGTGTTTCTACAAGTCCCGATTTTAGGCCGATGATCAGATCTTGATCGTTGCATCAATTTGCGATGATCGAATTTTTCGGATATTTGAATGCACTTGAGATATTCTTTTTTCTGAAGTGCTCACGCAGCTTGGAATGTCTATTTTATCTGGAACGCAGTTTTTGTGCCATTCAGCCATTTTTAGAGGTTCGAAAAAGTCGACACACATTATATTGAACTCAATTTAGATATGAGCAAACATCATGCTAATATTAAGTGCACTAGGAAACCCATTGGTGCTCTCTATCTTGGGGAATGCCATGATGTAAAGTTGAAAATTGCAATGGCGGATCTCTTGGGACGTTATGATACAGAAGACGAGGAATTCAAGTACCATATAATTCAGAGGTTTCTACTTTTCTTTCGACATGGCAAAAAGTTGGATCTTTCCTACACCGAAAGAAATGAGGCGGCACTTTCTATCGTCCAGCAGATAGGTTTCATCTATCTCCGAACCTCCGCCGACCTTTGTGGGTTTCTTTGGAGCTACATATTGCCCTTTCTTTACGATGGTCCAGTACTACAGTGGGTTCTAAACAGTGTACCGGGCAAAATACATAACACAGAGCAAAGACCGATACTTCATGATGCTTTGAAAAAAGGCCTGCTGTTGCGGGATGCTTTAGGGACGAAGACCCTTGTTGAAAAAACCACAACGGCAGATCTACATCTTTGTTTTGAAGGACTATCCAATTATCCTTCCATTTTGGGAGAAACGCCGACTATGCTAGCAATGTACAGTGGGAGAGGATTCTTGGTCTGGCGTACTCTTTTGAGAGATCTAGAGTTTGACATATCAGACTTCGTCACTCAAGAGCTAGCAGCGATGAAATCACAGTATGATGGATGGACCCAAGATACGCTCATGGAATTATTTGAGAAAGATCCACCTGTTTCCCCCCTTCCCGAACCAGATAGCCAAACTCCCGGTATCTATCACTGTGATAGATGTCAACGACCTATAACTATAGGCAATATACATCAAAAAGTAGATCTTGAATGGAGGCGCACGCTCCGATCAATCAGAACGGGAAAAAAGAACGTGGAAATCGTCGATAATAATTCGTCACTGGCAGGAGAAATCGGCGCTACTATCATCGATCGCACTGATAAGAATACTATGGAAACAAGTTTCGGTGAGTCTTCCCCAGAATGTCTGACATCTAGAACTAGATACTATGTTTGGCTTCAGTTTTTGTATATCTATTTTTCTTATGCAAAGATTGAAGTTTTGAAGTGGCCTGAGCATTCGAGTCGAGTTGATCTCAACGTTTAAATTGTCTCGAATGATCGAGTTTGATTCAGTATCCTCAATTAGTTTCGATGTTCATGTCAATTCAGATACTTTCGACTTGACGTAGATGGACGTAGAACTTCATACTGATACCGAAACTATAGATCCCCTGCCCTATCGTTTGGTCTGTCCCCATGATTGTGAGGACGGAGTTTGTGTGGCATGGGAATATGAGGGTTTTGAGCCGCCAAATTTCCCACCGTACATCCCAAAAGAGGAAAGAGAACGTCTCAAACAATTACGCTTAGCCGAGGAGGAAGCGAAATGTCCTACTTATACTATGCCTGGGGCTTTCAGTGTTCAGTGATATGACCTGCAGTTCGATACTACAAATTTTTGGATATTGGATCTCTTTTTATCCGGAATTCGTTGAAAATAAGATATAAAAGTCTTTGAAGGGAACATATGAGCTGAATACCAAATTATATACCTGAGGGCTCATCATAGTCATCACTGGTGGGGAAGCGAATGCCGGTCGCTATACAAATCAATACTGTGGGTTCGACCTCCAGATCGATTTCAAAGGGCAGCAATTACGGTATTGCGACATAGAGAAGCTGCCTTGTGTTGTTCACTGGCACCTTCATGGTCAATTTCAGTATTAATATCGAATCGGGGATTTGAGGTCGAGATCCAGGTCAAAGTACATCTAATTTATAGATAGCTTTATTTAATACGAGGGATACATAGAGATACAAGAATGTTTTGAACGGTTGTTCAGAATCTAAAAAAGACACTGAGAAAGAAAGATTCAGAATGTCTAAATTTGTATTATTCTATACTCTAGAGATCTTAGGTGCCACTTGTATCATGTTTCTAAATGCCAAAGCTGATTCATTCTAAACCAAGAGCGAATGGGCCGAGCTGCGAGACGTAAAATAGGAATTTTTGTAAAGAAAGCTCGCGTGGCGCTCAGCCGTTGAACCCCGTGTGTGAGAAGGGCGATCCACCAATGAGCAACATGATCTGACATACCGGCTTTGTCGCCTACTCCGGATTTTCCATTTCGATTATCCTAGAAAATATCCGGCAGCTCAAATGTTCAAGATGGGTTCGGATGGTTTGATGGGCTGGAACCTAGCATAGGGTGTTTTAAGGCATTTAGACGAAGTTCTGTAGACTATGGTGGGAGTTTTTGTCTTTCTACCGTCTGAACTGGACTTTTGCCAGACAGACAGTCCGTCGAGATAAGATGTTGAAAGGTAAATCCTTGAACCAAACCATTTTGAAAAGGAATTTTGGAATATACACACATATGAGTCAGGATTTGCGGTTATTATGCAAGATGTCAGATAACACGTTGGTGTATGGCATCTCAAAACATCGCATGAGTTTGATGAATGATTCAAATAAAAATTGCAAAACTACGAGTGTTGGTATGCTTCATAGATTTGGATCCCGAGCATAGAGTTCTCAATGATCATCCCGTTTCAACCATGCTTTACAGGCCGCATGTACCTTTCCCAAAGAGTCCTCCATTTCTACCAACCGTGCGAAGATTTTTGCATCAATCCTGTTTATCATTTGCAGAGTAGCAACGATGAAGAAGTCTGCATAGGTTGCTATCACGTTACCTTTGTTAGCTTCTTTTCATAAATACAGTATTCCAATTTTAACTTACGTGTCTCTCCCTCGATGAATGGACCACCCTTAGCTTTCAGCAATTTCCCTAATTCGCGAACGACTGGTTCAGCATCTTCCCAACACTTCTCTTTACCTTCCTTTTCACCATACTCATAGATATCCATGCCGACTCTTTCCTTTCGGGTCTCTTCAAAATAGGCACGTGAAGCGTCATTCAAGAGCCCCTTAGCAAGGAGAGGCAGCCAGAATGGACGAATTGAGAGTTGAAGCTTGGGAATCAAATCTTCGACTTGAGAGAGTGCAGAAGTCTCGATTTTGAGAGATGGAGTAGGGTAGAGCTGTTCTAGGAGGGTAGCAATGGTGCTGGAATCTTGGACATAGCCTCTTTCTGGAATTTGGATTGTAGGGATTGTGTATTGGATGCCGGAGGTGTTTGGCTGGACCTGGCTGTATGGAGAGAGTGGTTAATAGCATGGTGGGAAGAAAGGCATGGGAACTACGAACAGAGATTTGAATGTTGGTTCTATGTCTGGATATTCGATCCATGTTGTCTTGTATGGTATCTCTTTGTAATTTAGAAGTAGACGTGCTTAGAGATATCAGAATAAAGATAATGCTAGAGATGAGTTGTTTCACGCACTTTTCAACGCATTGTGTGACCAACTTGCACAGCGACCCTGGCTGGCTAGATCGTAGAGAGTAAGTTCCGAGCTGGCCGTTTGAGTACCAGTTTGAGACATGTTTGAGTATTTGGGACAGGGTAATGTTAAGTTTTCTTGGGACTTGAGTTATGGTAGGGCTGTTAACGAAAATCATGAGTAATCTTTGCAATTTGAAGCTTATATACCCCGCATTTTCAAAAGCCATGATGAGAGCTCTGGTTTGTCATATGCAGGGCGCAATCTCACATGAGGAAGTGAAGAATGACTAATACACTCGGAAAGAGCACTGTAGGTTCAAGAACGATTAAAGTGTGCGATAGAGATGTATATCGTAGCTACTTGCTCCTGGGCAGTGATATGTATCAATACACCGTCCGATTCTCTAAGGAAATAGTCGATAAGTACAGTGATATTAGTTGGAAGCCATGATCACGTGACACATCGCATTTCTAAGGCTAAGCGCGATTCTCCCCGCCATCAGTTCTTTTTGGTTTCCGCCTGGTGTATTATCAACTCTATCTTCGTATCAACACTTCAAACCACTCTCAACATCTCCATATACAAAATTTCACAGAGCCATTCACCATGGGTTCCGTTGTTCTTCCTCATCTCGTCACCGGCTGGCATGTCGACCAGGCTATTATGTCAGAAGAAGAGAGACTGGTAGTGATCCGCTTCGGACGCGATGTTGATCCAGATTGTATGCGACAGGATGAAGTGCTTTACAGTATGTGCCATATTGTCAAAACATTCCCATCTTCCATCCTAATTAATATATCATGCCAGGCTATGGGCTAACAAAAGTGTAACAGAGGTTGCCGAATTAGTTAAAAACTTCGCCGTCATCTACGTCTGCGACATCGATCAAGTACCCGACTTCAAAACTATGTACGAATTGTATGATCCGGTCACAACGATGTTCTTCTTTCGAAATAAACATATGATGTGCGATTTTGGAACGGGTAATAATAACAAGCTGAATTGGGTGTTGGAGGATAAGCAGGAGATGATTGATATTATTGAGACGATTTATAAGGGTGCTAAGAAGGGTCGAGGTTTGGTTGTTAGTCCTAAGGGTATGTGGCATTTAACTTTTTCGCTTCTTATCTAAGATCCAGGGCGGGAACGTTTGATATCAAGGACGAAGGCTAACTCTGCGTCAGATTACTCGACTAGATACCGATACTGAGATGCTCATTACAATGGTATTGTGGCAAGAATGTATTTGCAGCCTCTGGGTGTGATCATTCAGTGGGTGTAAGGAAGGGCGTTAATGCTGGATTGATCTGATGGAAGGTGGATCCAGAGGAATGTAAAGGGTTGGTCTCACACAATGAATTTTATAATCGTACCTGAAGATGCTAATGCTGCTTAAAGTATGTGAACGTACCCGAAGCTATGTGGTAGGTCGATTTCTCCTATTTGTTGACGGAAAAGAAGTTTGATCATATTTTGCGCTCTTTCCTTGCGACCTTGCAAATACTTGCTTTGTGCGCAAGATACAATTCGAGTGCCTCTAGAAATCTCCGCAAGCTGATAGCCTCCATATATTATCGAGTAGTAGTACTACCATGCGACACAGCTCGAGAGAAGAATGTCTTGGTTTATCAAAACTAGACTTTAGTGGCGTAACGCAATAGTGCAAATGTCTACATATTCGACAATCGAGAAGCAATTCTATGATTTAGCTCCTTCATAAGAACTCATGTAAGTTGAAATACTATACAATATGTTCTGTTCGGATGTACAACCGATTATCCGGGGTACTTTTACCATCTCCACCGGAAAAATGATTGAGCGAGTAATATCCGATACCCCTCTTTACTCAGTTCCACATCTTGAGCTTAAACTCTCATGCATCTTTGCATCGGAATTTCAAGGGGGATTACTTCGCTGGACTTGACCTCCGAGTCTAGCTTCTGCAGTGCCATCCACATAATTGGATGATACTTTGCCTCTTAAAATGCGGAGGCACACTTTCCGCTTCGGCTAAAGTGGGAAGCACAATTTTCAGTTTTCTGTACCCTTTCTTAGTTGCTCTTTGGATTAGCCAAGTGAAAAGGCTCTTATTATATGCTCATGACCCAAGATCCTGGATTTTCTCCAGACGAAATGCGTCAATCATCCTGGAAAAAGGTTTGTCCAGCTGTATGCCAAGATTATTCAGAAACCCTTGTAACTGATTCTGAGGGGTAAATAAATTTCTCATTACTTTAAAAGAGTCTGGAGAATCCTCAATTGTAACTATCATTGTTCAAGGAAAGCTTTTTAGTCTTCAGGATGAAGTCTTTTTTCGCAGCTCTTGTCTCCCTCCTCCCTCTAGCGACTGCCCTCCCCCTAATCTCCTCAGAATCTCCAAATGCACAACCCAAATCACTCTATCCATTTTCCTCCAGCGGCAGCAATGCTAAAGTAGCTGGTCGTCTCTTCAACATCGATGGGAAGGTCCAATACTTTGCAGGCACAAATGCTTGGTGGCTTGCACATCTTTCATCCAACAGCGATGTAGACCTCTCTTTTTCACAAATGGCCGCTACGGGCTATAAAATTGTACGAGTATGGGGCTTCGGCGACGCGAACACTCCTCCACCGTCCACCAACACGGATCCAAATCTTGTCTACTTTCAGATCCTCAACTCTACAGGTGCATATATAAATTATGGTGCAGATGGTCTTCAGCGACTAGACTATGTGGTCCATGCAGCATCTAAATATGGTCTGAAGCTGGTACTGAACTTTGTTAACAATTGGGGTGATTATGGTGGAATTGCTGCCTACACTAATGCTTTCAATTGTTCGTCAACGTCCTTTTATACCGATGCAACTTGCCAAATGGTTTATAAAAACTACGTCAAAACAATCGTCACTCGTTACCGCTCTAGCACTGCCATCTTTGCTTGGGAGCTCGGTAATGAACCCCGCTGCAATGGCTGCGAAACATCTGTCCTTACCAAATGGGCTTCGGATATATCAAGCTACATCAAATCGCTCGATTCACACCATATGGTTACATTGGGCGACGAGGGATGGTTTGCACCAGCCGATGGAATCGGTGATGGGAGTTATGCGTATGGAGGTGGAGAGGGCATTGATTGGGTCGCGAATTTGAAGATCAAAACATTAGATTATGGAGTATTCCACTTATATCCAAATAGTTGGGGATACAATTACACATGGGGAAATGAGTGGATTGAACAACATGATAAGGCTGGAAAAGCGGTTGGAAAACCGGTCATCTTAGAAGAGTATGGCACGCCGTTCCCATATAATCATACGGAGACCGAAGGACCTTGGTATGTTTTTATGTTACTTTTATATTTTACTTTGAGCTAGAGGACGGAAAGTGAGTTGAAAGAAAAAATAGCTGACGAATTTCTTCTCATAGGCAAGCAACGGTACTTAAATCTGAAATAGCTGCAGATCAGATCTGGCAATTTGGTCCTAATGGAACGAGTGTGCCAGCGGAAGTTTTCGGTGATGTCAATACTATCTATTACAAGACCCCGGAGTATGCTACACTTGGAACGGGTCATGCTAAGGCTATGTTGAAGAAGAAGGTGTGATTGGCATACGGTATTGGGGTGGCATATTATATATATGGTGAGAGTTAATTCAATGAAGTTTCTTGCTGTGCTGTTTTTCCAACGTGCTATTCTTCCAGCGTGCTGTTTTTGCAACGAAGCTGTGGGTTTGTGAAGGTCGACTACTGATAATTCCGTGGGCAATGATAAACTCCGAGAAAACTCTTGTGTCTGAATGTCAGGCAGACAGAGACCTTAGGCATATTTCTCCTGAGGCAGTCCTATTCCAGTCAAAGAGATGCTTTTGTTGCATATCGCAGCGCCAGGCATGAATATGAGGCATTCTACCCTTTATAAGCAAAGTAGTCTGATTGTTTGAACCTCAAATACGAAGTTGCATCTATCCCTAAATTAACTTGCAATAATGTCGGACCTTAGGTTTATGTTCATAAAATCGTCGCTAAAATATATTGTGTATTTTTTTGCAAAATTTCAATGGAAGCTTGAAGCAAACCATGACTCGACGGCAGCTTATGAATTACAAATGGTCTGAAGAGTATATTAGATAGGATATAATCTTTCTGGCAATTTTGAAGAACCTAATAGTATATCCTCACCAAGTCCCGGTAGTTTCAAGCAATTGATGACAAATCCAAGCTGGCACGCTGGGTAGGCTCGGCAAGTGCCTATAAGAATTCCGAGCCGAGGTATCTTCATTTCGGTATTCCCCACAGAATCGCCGTTCTCCCCGGATTCCTTTCAAAAACAATATCAATACCCCTTCTATCTCTCCTTTCTCATTCAATTAATCTTCAAAAGAACTCTATATATCAAAAATTCAAAATGGCCGTTGAAAGAATCAGCTCAATTGTTAAGCATTTGACTCCTGGTACATCAGGATTGTCTGCAATGTAAGTAAACATTCCAGCCCCTTCATCACTAAACACATGCTTATAACAATTTTGCAAATAGTACCTCGAAAAATGCCGACGATGTTGTTATCACACTTGCAGTTCGCACACCATTAGCAAAAGGTTTCAAGGGAGGTTTCAAGGATACAAAGCTTGACTATCTTATCTATGCCCTTCTCCAGAAAGTCAGAGAAAAGTCCAACCTCGATCCAGCTCTTGTTGAAGATATCTGCTGTGGAAATGTGAGCACCTCTAGAGACTTCTCTTGCAAAGGCGACGACTAATAATGATATAAAAGGTCAGCGATGGCAATGCCGCATACAAACTTCGTGCCGCCGCCTTGGCAGCAGGATTTCCCAATACCGCCGCAGCCTCTATTGTAAACCGATTTTGCTCCTCAGGTCTCAAGGCCACCCAAGATATCGCGAACCAAATTGCTGAAGGTAGCATTGATATTGGTATTGCCATGGGTGCAGAGATGATGTCGATTGGAGGCGATAAGCTCGACGGTGGTTTCCACCCTGATATTCTCAAGTGCCAAGACGCTGCCGATTGTATGCAACCTATGGGACAAACATCTGAGAATGTAGGAAAGGATTTCAACATTACTCGTGAACAACAAGACAAATATGCGGCAGAAAGTTATCAGCGCGCAGAGCGTGCTCAAAAGGCTGGATGGTTCGATGATGAGATCGTACCAATTGTTGCGGAAGTTAAGGACCCAAAGACTGGAGAAGTCAAGAAGGTTACTTTGACAAAAGATGAGGGTCCAAGATATGGAACTACCTTCGAGAGCTTGAACAAGATCAGACCTGCTTTCCCAGCATATGGTGACAGATCTACCGGTGGAAACTCCAGTCAGGTCACTGATGGTGGTACGTAACACAATCTACAAGCCACTTTACAAGTATGCATGCTAACGTATATTCACAGCTGCCGCTGTTATCCTTATGAAGCGTTCCCGCGCCATCGAGCTCGGTCAACCAATTCTCGCCAAATTTGTTGGAGCTACCGTTGCAGGTCTTGCTCCACGTATTATGGGTATTGGTCCATCCATTGCTATTCCTAAACTCCTCACCAAATACAATCTCACTATTGACGACTGTGATGTCATCGAGCTTAACGAAGCATTCGCTTCCATGGCCGTATACTGCAAAGATGTCCTTAAGATTCCTCACGAGAAGATGAACATTAGAGGTGGTGCTATTGCACTTGGTCACCCATTGGGTACAACTGGTGCTAGACAAATCGTTACTGGATTGAGTGAGTGCAGGAGACAGAAGAAGAAGATTTTGTTGACTAGTATGTGTATTGGTACTGGACAGGGAATGGCAGGTTTGTTTGTTAATGAACAGTTGTAAGACTTATCTGCGATGGGGTGTTCATATCTAATGGTTAAGGTTTCGGTGCATTGCATGTAGTATCATTTTGTTGAATATAAAATCGTTCCTACTTTCAGTTGTTTGGTTTCAAGATTATGATGTGATGTGAAAGATTTACTAATACTAAACAGTACATTGTCTCACCCCTTTACCTCGGAATGAAGTTCTAGGTACTTTGATTCGTTCTTGCGCTCCTCTAAGCTACCTAACATCTTTTCGCTTTAACTAGCGTCCACAGCTCAAGCACAAGACCAGGATACTCATTCTATCCTGAGCAGATAAAACCGTACCAACAAAACATCTCGTCTCGCTTCTCCCGCCCCCTTCCATTCTGTTTTGACTGTTTTCCTACTTGATTCAAATGTGAATTGGTGCTCGGAGGGGATTTACGATGTACTATCAAAGGAATATAGGTTGGGTGTTCGTGATACAGTTTTCAGTCACCAGCTTGTCAAAAATTCAAGTCGCAGAACACATAAATTGGTCGCATCACTTTTGACCAAAATTTGCAATATGGAGTATTGAACATATTCATTAAAGTTCTTTTACAACATCTAGCATTTCACTCATCCAGTCAAGTATCTTTGCTTGCCCATCTAGACAAACTGCAAGCACCCATTGTTGTTTCCAATTCTCTCATCCAAGTTCAAAGTACTGGTGTGCCACGATGGAGCAAGCTCAGCCTCGAGCTCTTGTCCACCGCGCGCCAACCTGACATTTCTCGCCGACGCACCGAAGTTACCGCCGCCACGGCCGCCGCTGCCGCCAGGAACCTGTAGGTTCTGACCAGGCCAGATCTGATCGGGGTTGGTGATGTTGTTGTGTCTAGCAAGCTCCTCGTACGAGCAGTGTGAGAAACGGTCGGCAATGGCTCGGAGTGTGTCACCCTGTTGGACAGTGTATGTTGAGCCACCGTGGCTGCCGCCGGAAGACCAGCGCAAGCTACCATTGTCGTTCTCGATGTATTTGTTCAGACTGATGGTGCTAGATTGGTAGGATCCATCTGTGCGGCGGCACTGAGCGTGCAGGTTGTAATCACCGTGAGTGTCGAGGCGAACTTCATTGGACGAAGTGGTGAAGTTTCCACCAAAGTCACCTCGGGCGCGCTCGTCACCTCGGGAACGGTCGCCACCTCGGGAACGATCGCCACCTCGGGAACTGCAACTGCTGCTGCGACGGCGGTGATGTTGAGGTGGTGGGCCGCCGTGCTGCTGATTGTATTTCTCGCGCTTCTGTCGCTCCTCCTGCTCTTTCTCCCACTTCTTCTTCTCGTCGTGCTCATCCTTCCAGTCGCCTACGGCGTCTTGTGTCTTGTGTCCTGCAAAGGCACCAGTTAAGGCACCGACGATAGTGCCTGCAACGCCATGACCTGCTTGTCCACCTAGCTTGTGTCCGCCATAAGCACCGGCAGCACCTCCGGCGATGCCACCCATGATACCACGGTCACCCTCTGGGTCACCCTCACCGCCGTACTGGTTCTGGAAGCCTTGGTTGTGCGAGTTGCGTCCTGAATTGGAAGAGTGCGCTGCTGTACTTGGATACTTGGATTTGTTAGTTTGGACAGCAAAACCCGAGGAGTTAACTTGCCTGCTGGTATTGAGAAGGGTCCTGGCCATAGCCTGGCTGGCCGCCGCCATATGGCTGTTGGCCCATGTGTTGCTGCTGCTGGCCATAGCCGTTGTTCTGACCTTGCTGGTAATATTCACTAGCCTCGCCCTGGGGCTGCTGGCCATATCCTCCTTGCTGGCCGTAACCGCCTTGCTGACCATATCCTCCTCCTTGCTGGCCGTATCCTCCTTGATTGTAAGACATATTGATAGTTGAAGAGTTATGAAGGTGTTAACTAATGATGTGTGATTTGCAAAATCGCAGTGTACTCTTCTCCATGGAGCCATCTCCTTATATACTGCCCCAGCTCCCTTCTGTGGGGCTATCATATGCTGTGCCATCATGCATCATTCATGAGTTGTCTGCAACAAGCCGACACCGCCACGTTCCGAGCAACCGACTTTGTGGGGTTGTGCTACAGTCCATCGTCACATTAATCCACCTCAGCCACAACATGGGCCAATAGGGCAGACAGTCTGACTCGGGCTGTCTGAGGGTCTGAAATGGCAGTGGAACGCCAAGATCGTACCCAATCGAATGAACTGCCGATATTCCGTTTACCATCCCGGTGAGCCAGTCAGAACTAGGAGTTTTGTACTATTTTTACTTTTTCCACCACACAGGTTACTCTGCAGGTCAGGTGATTAGCCACGATGTTTCAATCATTCTTATTGTACTAGTCGATCAAATGACACCTTCAGAAGAATATCCAAGTATCAAATAACTGATAATTGTCTTGTCGATGTAATTGATTGATCGAATCGGAAAAGTAAGTTAGATACATTGCGAGAACTCTCAACACATGTGTTGCGTATACCGTATTCATTTGGTAATTCGGGTTGCACTAAAGTAGGGGTAATAAATTTAAGCTTGAATTAGATTGCTTTTAAATGGGGCAAATCGATTGGAAAATAGGAGCATTCAACAGAAATAAGGGATTGATGAATAATTCATCGAATGAACGAATCAAACAGCTCTGGTGTTTTTCGTAACTCTAATCCAGATTCTAGATGAGCCTTATATTTTCAATCCCTGCTTAGCGCGACCCAAATTACCAAATAAATACTGTATCTATGTGTCTGTACCCAGGCGACAATATAATATACAAGCCACTTCTCTTCAGTTCTATGGTCGTATGTTGTGGAGAGGTGGCTCAAGTGGGATATTTCTGGAGCAAAATTGGAAGCGAAGTGATGGGTGTCCCTGGATATGTTCCATGATGTTCTTCGAGAGAGTTGGAAGGGGTTGGTTGTACGTCTTGATGGCTTGGTAGAGAACGATAGTTGTGCTTGCTACTAGGAGCAATGGGATAGATTTGATGGATAGAGTGTGGAAAATTTGTGCAATCTAGTACAATAACTTCGGACATCTATGATGGATAAGAATATTCTCGCTATCATGGCCTTCGAAATTGTGACTCGCTTTATGAGATCTTCTATGAGATTTTCCTATGCCTTTTCCTTCCGTAGCTATCTTACTCTGTGGAAGTTGTTTCAAAATTCGGAAGTCTAGACGGTCAACGTCTAGCCTTCGCATTGGAGTTGATATTGTGAGGATTGAGCTTTTGCGAAATAGGTAAACTCTGAATGGATATAAATTTAACCGAATAGTAAGATGGTTGGTTCGGTTGACAGTTCCAGCAAAAACCACGGAGAACAAGCGTTGTGCGTTTAGCCTAGGAGACCAGAGAGGTCTATGATCAGTATCATGATGATACTTACTGTACTCTGTACTATGTACAATCCGACAACATCGACTATCTCAAGATATGCAGGCTGACAATAGAAAGAACATGTTAGAATCATCAAGCCTTGGTAGAAACTCTGAGACGATAATTGAGATGCATGACATTGCTGCCTACTGTTAATTCTCCATGCTGAAGAACAACCTAGAGGGAACCAAATCGAAGATTGCGGATGGTCCATGATTCCTCGACAGCCTCGTTCAGACGATACGTAAGTTTCTCAATCTGAAATAGATTGCATCCTATAGACAATCGAAACTTTCAACCCACTTGCAAGCAATTCAACAACGAGGACAAGAGGCAATATCGCAGAAACGACATGCCTTGCCAAACTGCAAAAGGCACGTCGGCAAAGGATCTTCCTCTCCCTCAAACCATTTTTTCTCAACCCCTCTCAGCCTACAACATCCCACTCATAAAACGCATACTCTCCATATTCTATCAACAAAGCACTTTCAGACAGCGGGAACCACGAATTAGTCTTCTACATAAGCTCGCGCGCGTCGAACAAGCTCGAACAGACAAAGTAAGAGATGCTGTAGCTCAACTTCTTCGTCTCGATATACCCATCACTAGATCTGCTGTTAAGGCAGGGCCTCATGATGAAGACGTAGATGGAGAGTTTACGGGAGTAGAAGAGGGCACGGATTGTGAAGTTTGTTTGCGAGCTTTACCCCCAGAAAGCTTTCCTCAACAAGATCTTGCAAGCAAATGCGAACACAAGGCACATATGTGTACGTCGTGTCTGGAACAAGCTGCTGTGGCAAACGTAGAGAGCAACCCCTGGGATAATATACCTTGTCCATACTCCAGTTGTGAAAGGATGTTGGAACCAAGTATCGTGATGAAGTATCTCAAAGGGGGCTACTTGAGAAGTATAAACCTTCAAAATGCTGGCAGCTGTTTAAGAAGCTAATCTCACAACAGTTATAACAACTACATCGAAAAGTTGGAGATCCGCAACCTCCCAAACTTTCAATGGTGTTTAAATCCCAAGTGTGTATCTGGTCAAGTCCACAACGATGGACCGAAATATTTGAGAGTTATATGTCATGCTTGCCAATCCGAGAGCTGCTTTCTTCATCAGATCCCACGAGGTGAAGGAAAGAAGTGCACGGCTTGCGATAATGCTGTTTCTCGACATGAGGGACGCGTAGAAGCACTTACGATTACGAAACCGTGTCCAAGATGCAAAGTGCTGACCATCATGGGTCCGATTAATTGTGGCAGGGCACGATGTAAGTACCAAATCATCTCCGATCTTATGGTGTGCATTCTGTGTGTACTAATACCTTATACTCCATAAGCCGTTGTAAATACGACTGGAAAAGATTTAGCGCAGGTCGTTGAGATAAGTTTATTGTATTTCAAACCCACCTCTTTATGGCTACAAATGAGGAGGAAATGTGATATCCCATCTAACGTCACTTTATCAATTCATCAGTACCTGTAGAGCAATAAATTAGCTTGAAATTGGAAGTTTCATGGCTAGGTATGGCTGAGTTTACATTGAGAAGGAAACATTCACCTTGAATGTGTGTTGTACAAGACAAGTGACGTAGATTTGGCTGGCCCCAATATCCAAATGCGCATGCATGGATTCATTCAATCGGCTTCGGTAGAACTATGAAACACTTGACCCCTTTCCCGGGAGACTAACCTTTAGTTGAAAGATCTAGTGCCGAAGTACGCTAGGATCGATCAACGGCTGATCCTTGGCTTCTCCAGAGTGATCATCAACAATGACGTCTAGGATATGGTCCTATTTGAAATTGACCCTTAGGTCTTGATGAGCTAATAGCCTGCTAGCAATTGCCCCGAGCTCTTCCCAACAACTTCCTTCTTTTCACAACAAATTTGTGACTGAGCTTCATATTGACATACCATAAACAAACATAAACTATAGAAAATGTCTGGCCTCCTCGATACAACTCGTAACTTTTCTCTATACAGTGTAAGAATACCAGCTCCAACTCGATCAATGGCAATTTCTCACATCTGCACAGGTCCCGGCAGCATGGCTCCTGGCTCACATCCCTCATATGTACGCTGTCAGCTCGTCTAAATGCTTCGATAACCGCTCCCCCAGAGACTATCCAAAAAGTCTCGAGGCTGATCAGAGCATTGAAAAGGCTGTATGTTCCCTAGCTGATTCTTTTCCCTCGTCAAATAAAAAACTAATATCATCCTAGAAAAAGAACCGACTTCGCAGAGCCCACGCCGCCGCATCTAATGGCTACGAAAGCATCGGGTTTTTTGCTTCTGCAGTCGTAGCTGGAAATGTTGCGGGACTTTCCCACTCAACATTAAATACCCTCAGTGGCGCATACCTAATTAGTCGTGCGGTTTATAATTTCATATATATAAGTAATGAGAGTCAAGGGGCAGCAGCAGCAAGAAGTTTGGTTTGGCTTTTCGGAATTGGACAGATTTTGACGTTGTTCATCAAAAGTGGAAATATCCTAACCAACAAGTCTGCAAACTTGTTGTAGATAGATGAGAAAGCGTATGGATCACATGATATCGGACTGTACATACTTTGCAAGATATCGAAAGTAATAATAATTGAAAGTCACCAAGGAACCATTCGATGGGAATGCATGAGCCTGCTTCAGGATTGGGTGAATATTTTCGGACTTCGTCGTCTCTGTTCAAAGGATGAGATTCTTCGAGTTAAAGGAGAGCAAACGGAGAGATATACTCATTGGAGATTCGCGGTGAAGTTCAATCATCATCACATGATCTGGCTAGCTAACCTATCTTGCCTACGGTAGGCATAAATCATTAAATGTAGATCTACCTCATACTATAGGATGATAACATGCCATCGAAGACTTGAGAAAAAGGGTAGAAAGTCTAGATACTTTGCCGGCTTTGCTAACTCTGAGCCGTTCCTGAATATCGTAGGATCCATTTCTTTGATTCTCTCCACATTCGGCGGGTTTTCACCCGCGCCGATGAACTATACCATTTACTGACGTCACCATTTCTTATCGAGCGGGCTGGGATAAGGGAAGTTTTGGATTCATCTGCAATATATATTGTAGCAGGTCAAGATGAATCTCTCAAGTTTACCCAAGTACATCAAAAAACAGCTATGTCTAACAACACCATACCAACAGTTGAGGGGGGCAAGAGGATAGTAAGTTGCCAATATTCATGACGCTGAACTGTTGATTGACATTGTATAGGTCTTCACAGGAGGTAGTGGCAAAGCAGGGCGCCACGTTATCCCATATTTACTCTCCAAAGGACATAAGGTCTTAAATCTTGACCTAATTCCATTTCCGGATCCATCTGTTGATGTATATACACTCAAAACAGACCTCACAGATTCAGGTCAAGTTTTCAATGCCTTCACATCCCATTTTAACATGTCTGGATACAATGAAGGACCGGTGCCCGGCCCTCCAGATGTGATTATACATTTTGCCGGTACAACCCTCCATCCTCCCTCATCGTCCGTATAATTCTAACTAGCACCAGCCTACGCCCGAAACATGCTTGTACCTGACAGCGAACTCTTTCAAGCCAACACTCGTAGCACATACAACGTGATTGAAGCAGCCAGCAAACTTGGCGTGAAGAAGGTCATAATAGCTAGCTCCGAGACCGTGTATGGAGTATGTTTTGCACAAGGAGATACCGATTATCATTCCTTTCCTCTAGAGGAAGACTATGATGTTGATCCCGAAGATTCTTACGCTCTATCCAAGATATGTGGCGAGAAGACTGCTCGTACATTTGCGAAACGGTTTAAGTCAGATATATACGCGTTAAGAATTGGGAACGTGATTGAACCGCATGAGTATAAAAGAGACTTTCCAGGTTTCATGGAGGATCCTATGTGTAGGAAACGGAATGCCTGGAGTTACATTGATGCAAGGGATTTGGGTCAAATTTGTGACTTGGCGATCAAGAAAAATGACCTGGGGTTTCAAGTCTTCAATGCCACAAATGATGGCATCACAATACCTGGGGAAGAAAAGACAGAAGACTTTTTGAAGAGAGTTTGTCCAGGAACGAAGGCTACAAGAAAGTTGGGAGAGAGGGAAGCACCATTGAGCAATAGAAAGATTAGAGAAGTACTGGGATTCAAGGAACTCCATGACTGGCGCAGTTATGTCGATTGAGAGGAGGAAGGAGATATACCTCGCGGAGCTTCCTGTTGATAAGATGAGGAACTAACTATGAATTTGGAAATATGTTCGCATAGTATTGTTCACCATCCCAAATTCCCACGCTTTATGCAAAGGCGCAGCCATGTACGGTAGTGAGCATACCTCAAATGATACCCGAAGTTTTCAGGATCTGTTCATGATGGTTTGATTTGAGGTCTGATGCTGTCATTTAAGTGCCGGGTCCACAACCTTGATTCCAATTTCCCACATTTCCTTACCAAATTCCCACCCCACTCTGGTAACACAGCTCCCACTTTTGCACACCATTACACCATCCTACACACACTTTAAAACCCTTATCCTCGTCAACAAAGATTTTTGGAATATGTTCTCAGAATCCGTACGAATCCTCAATAATAACACAACATCTTTGATGGTCTAACGGTCATGATTTCCGCTTGTCAATAATATTGCAAGTCGCGGGAGACCGGGGTTCGACTCCCCGTCAGAGAGTTCATTAGCATAGAATTCCTTGAATCTCATGTTCAATTCACTTTTTTGGTGAATTTTTGTGATTTTTGTTGGTGTTGTGGAAATTTTTTGCATCAAATTTTTAGCCGAGGCGATAATATTTGGGTGTAGTGGGGAAGTAATGGGGTATGGGACATTTTTTTTTTCTTCGAGTGGGGTTCCTTGCTGAAGGAGAAAGCGGTGGTTGGGATGGGAACTCTCTGATTTGATCGATCGTGAGTGATCATGTCGCGTCTATTTAGTGCCAGACGAAGGTTGCATCTAGTGAAGCGAGAAATACCATCGACATAACGAAAATTGCCATCGCAAAGGGCTGTCATGGAAGGGCAATTTATCATGCTTTGCTTGAAGGCCTCTTGCTGATAACCTGTGTTATTAGTCGCATGTTGTTTTGAAAGTACCAGAGAGACAAGAAATATCATCGGTTTTCTTTATGAGTGCCATTCAGCTTTGCTTGTAGCTGGGCTTGTTGACCCTGAGATCATTCTTTCTTGGCTCTCAGCACGGCTGATATACTCGTTCAATTCTTGTGCTTCACCCCTAGCAACAGTTACGATTGTAGTTGTCCTAGCTGTAATTCCACTTAGGAAGTGTGAAGAGCCTCTAGTGTAAGATTTGTTCCTCCTTTCTGCACCTTTTAGCCGATCACTTGAGAGGACCCCGCTTCTGGTGTCCGTTATGATATGCGGTGCAACGACGAGACTGTCAACGATAGATTTGGAGAAGGGTATACAGGACAATATAATTGTGAAGGAAGAGTGCAGGTTTGTCATTAAAGCCAAGTTGAATGAATCCCAAGTATAGTTTGTTGAATCGATGGTGTTGTACAGATAGATTATGCGAAGAATAAGAAGAGGTAAGGTCCTATTATTGATGGTTAAATTAGTCACACATCTTTTGATACAGAATACAAACGGGCTAATGGGTACGAAAGACAAGTCTTACAAAAGGTTCGGCGAGAATAAAAGTATCGTCAATCTTTTCTTGGAATCCTCCATTTTCAGACCACTCAGAATATGCACAGGAAGCAGACCAACGAACACCTGAGTCAACGAATCCACTACCGCGTTGACTGTCCAAAAGACTCTCTGTGGAACAGCGACTAAGGTTAGGATACAGAACTTGAAGACTTGGAAGTATCTTACAACATTGATACATTTCCCCGGCTCAAACACCCAAGGATCTGGGAGCTGGCATTGCAGAGCGATCGCGATTATACTGACCAAGCTCCATGTTCCAACCCAGACAATGCTTCTATGAATCAATCGGCGTTTGTTGCTTCCTTCTCTAGTGAGACAAACAAAGAAGTAAAGACTTGATAGCTTGGAGAGAAAGATTGCTGAGATATACATGATGTTACCAGCATATTGAGCCTACAAGTTCTTAGTGCTTGTCGATAGCCTTATCGCAGATATCTCACTATATAGAAGCGATTAAGCTCACTCTGAAGGATAGTGTCTTGTTTTTGCCCAAGTCCATGAGCAATTTGTTCCGATGTGCATATGCATTGACCGACCGAGGACAACTAATATTAGGGATAATTGTAAGCCCAAATTACGGAAAGGTCACACATGAAGACCAGAATGGGAACGCACAGGATCTACATACCATAGCAATGAGACCCAAATAATCATCAATCTGGATTTTGCGAAGAGTGTCGTATTTGGTATAGATTTTGGTCGAAGCTATGATAATCATGGGTACCAATACAATCCACATAGCGACATTCAGAAGTGGCCCATGATTATCGGCTGTCACTACAGCCATCTTGCTCAGATAAGTAGCTACTCGTCGTTACCAAATTTGAATCGTCGATTAATGGAAGGTTCAGGATGTTCATGTAATTGACTTGCCGCTGTTAAAGTACGAGAAAAGTCAAGACTTGCATCCAAAATATAAATTACCCTACTGCCCGAGAATATGATTGCTCCTAGATCCTGCGGTCAACATCTATTTCCTTTAGGTCACAGATTATCATTGCTCAAATAGTTCGAGATAAGATCCAGCTGTGTAGGATATTAGTCCGCATGAAATTAGAAGTTGAACTGCAAGGGAATTCAGATGCGTGCTGTGCCTCACTTCGTATTCTTTACCAAATCCGCGAAAGTCAACATCCGATTGTGAAATCCAACAACACTTTGGCAATGTAGTTTTACAAATCTATAAACACAGGAGATAAACAATATCACGCTTGTGTTTTCAACACTTAATCGATACACGCATATTAAATATTGGCCAATGGGCAAATCGAGATCTAATTTATTTTCTTCTCTTTGTCTCCGAATAAATTGACCCTGTTCGAATACGTGATGCCGAAGTACCAAGTTAATTGTGACATGGATCAATGCTAATCATTCTAATTTCGGAATTCGTGGTGTAGATCCCTGTCGATCTATGTTCTATCGGGGAGGTACGCTCAACTTGTCCAGACTCTTGCTGGAGCTTGAAGTTACACCTGTGGCGAGCGCTTATCCATCAGAGTTCTTGCGTGCGGTAATGTAATAATGCGGCTCAATATCGCATTCTGCATCTACAGGCGCCTGAAAAGGTACCATTTCTGTCTTCACCACCTCGAACCCAACCTTTCGCAACAAGTTCTCCCAACCCTTTCTGGTGTAAAGAAGGTTACCAATCCGCTTTCCCATGAATGTATGCTCGATGCCTCTTGCACACTCTCCATCCTCGTCAAACATATGTGGCTCTGTTGGAAAGTCCTCGGCTACCATGGTCCGATGAAAATATAGCCCCCGGGAGCAATCCACCCCGACATCTTTTCAGCCGCTATTTCCATTTCCTCTCGCGAGAAATGAAACAGGGAGAATATCGCAAAGGCGCCTTGAAATTGAGACGGTGATTTAGGGAAGAAGTCAAGCATATTAGTCAGCTGGAAAGTTCCACCAGGGACTTGTCGCTTGCTCAATTCGATCATGACGGGAGAAAAGTCAATTCCATATAATTTGCGACCACTGCTCACAACGAGGCTGGATGTTGGAACCCCAGTTCCACTGCCAATATCAAGGACCGTCGCATCAGAGCTCGCAGGAAGAAGATTCAGACTCTCGGTAATGAACGCTATGAGGCCTTCATCATGTCCGAAACTCTTCTCGTATCTAATTCCTAAGTTGTCATAGAAATCGGCTGCTGGGTTGATAGGTGCCATTTCATTAATTGATGATGGATGTTTGAAATGAGTTAAGATCACTTTATTGTCTGGGTGATGGAATGAACCCAGCTTTTGGTTATCCAGTCTCGCCGTGCAATATATGGATAAATATGTCCGACATTACAAGCCATGGTCTGCTCTCGGTTACAGCGTTGAGACGCTATCATGTCCCTGTTGATGTTGCATTTAGGCCTCCGCTTCCCCGCAGGTCCGGAACAAGGGACATTAAATTATGACAAGTAGAATGTAACGCATGAAATGCAACTTGCCGTTCTTGAATATGATTAGTGGGCCAAGCAATCTAGGCTCAATGGTTCGTCTGAATGTACAAATCCATGATGGAACATGGCATGGCTTGTGGGAAAAAAACGCATCCGTTATTGAGCGATACCCTCTTCTTTATCCATCTCTGATTTACTTTCTCTTTCTTTGAAGTGACATTCTGTGACACTGCAACGAAAAATGTCTTCCCACGAGCTTGATGAAGCTAAGCCTGGTGTTGTGCAAGAAGTCAAAGTCACCACTTCATCCGGAATTAATCTTGATCAAGAAAATGGAGACATGAACCTGACAGAGCGAGGGAAGTTGTCGGAGAAAGACTACGCAAGTAAAGTCCAAGATGAGGCAACTCTGGCCGTGTTTGGAAAAAAGCAACAGCTCAAGGTAAGATCTTACTCGGCTAAGCATTACTGTATATCATTGACCACATAAATTTTAGCGAAGATTTAAATCTTTGTCTTCCGTGGGCTTAACTTGTGGTTTGATGTTGACATGGGAAGTCGTTCTATTGTAAGAGCCCCGATATATCTCTCTCAACTCAGAAGTGCTACCCGACTTACCATATAAAGTACTCTTCAATTTGGCTTACAAAATGGCGGCCCTGCTGGATTAATCTACGGATTTCTAGCGGCATGGTCCGGAGCTATGCTTCAAGCATTGGTTATGGCTGAGATGGCATCAATGTGAGTCAAGTATTCAGAATCTTGATATAGGATATAGTACTAACCAGATATAGGATTCCTCTCGCTGGTGGCCCTTTTAATTGGGTTGCCATTTTGTCTCCCCCTTGGTGCAAGAAGTTTCTCAGCTACTTGGCAGGATGGCTTACTGTTATTTGTTGGCAAGCCTTTGTTGCAGAAACTTGCTATACTGTCGCTTCATTGATCCAAGGTCTTCTGATTCTCAACTATCCAGACTATGATCCGAAACTGTGGCAAGCGACTCTGCTTTTCTATGCCATCGCTCTCTTTGGTGTTTTCATCAATACTTATCTGGGTCGTCTTCTACCGCGTATCGAAGCTATGATGCTTATTCTGTATATCTTGGGATTCATTGGAGTGCTCATTCCTATAGTTTATTTATCGCCTCACACACCCGCTGACAAGGTCTTTACCACCTTCCAAAATCTGGGTGGATGGGATAGCATGGGTCTTTCGTTTTTTGTTGGATGGATTACATCTGTCAGTTCTTTCGTGGGAAATGATGGAGCTGATCATATTGGTATGCTTATCGTTTTCCCTATAGAAAAGATTAAAATCAGGGCTAAGACTGATGCTAACCACTCATCCTTTATAGCCGAAGAAATCAATCAGGCGTCGAGAGTCATACCTTTCAGCATTTGGTTCTCAACCTTATTCAATGGCATCCTAGGCTTTTCTATGATGGTAGCAGTATTGTTTGGTATCCAAGATATCGTCGCCGCTACTCAATCAAACACTGGGTTCCCTTTCATGGAGATATTTCAGACTGCATTAGGGTCAAAAAAAGGAGCCAATGCACTGGTAAGTATTGATTCATGGCTGAACGTATTTTTCTAACTCGGGTAGATAATTGTGATTACCGGAGTAAACGTTTTCTCCGTCAGCAGTGTCTTGGCCACAGCATCTCGAACTTTATGGGCTTTTTCAAGAGAGAATGGACTGCCATTCTCTCATCTCCTTGTAAAGGTAAAAAAATACCGCGTCTCTGGGTTCTTACAAACTTGAGCTAATAACAAGCATAGGTTGATCCTAAAACCCGACTACCAATCAACGCAATCATAGGAACACTTATAATCAACGTACTACTAGCACTAATAAGCGTCGGCTCATACACCGCATTTGGAGCATTTTATTCTGTTGTTTTAGCCGCGTACCAGTCATCTTTCTTACTGGCGGCCAGTGTGATGTTAGCAAAAAGATTAAAAACACCAGCGTCCGAAATGCCATGGGGTCCTTTCCGACTCAAGAAGCTAGGTGTACCCATTACTGTTGTGGCTATAATCTACACCATTATCGCACTGTTTTTCTCGTTCTGGCCTGCTTTCTCGACGGTGGACGCGGCAAATATGAATTGGAGTTGTTTAATTTTTGGCGGGGCCGTTATCTTCAGTATGATTTTCTGGCTGTTGCATGGACGGAAAGTCTATGTAGGTCCTATATGGGAGTTTGAGGGTCAGTTTGTTAGAGTAAAGTGATGAAACACAAGAGCTAGTTTAACTACTCATGTTATCATCAACTCAGATCGTAGTTTAGTCTTGTGAAATGATCAGAACTAGAATGAAGAAATTATTTCAGCCCTCTTTTGAGCCTCTGTATCAAAAGAAGCCATCATCTATCTCTGATTCAGATCCCTATTTTTCACATGCTTATAATACTGTCAGCAAATATGTCCATATGTACAAATTGGCATTGGGCATTAAAATACAATCTGATGCAGAGAGCCCAACAAAAGACAACGTTTTAGCCGAGTGCACCTACCGATCAACACGTACGAAAAACTCAAGTGATAGCAACAATGCCCTGGTAAGTCCAAAAAACTTCCCCGGCAAACAATAAGACCCACAACGATGCGCGTTATAAACTAGTACTGCGGTGTCTCTAGCGTATTTCTAATCTATCACACCCCGGTAAGCCCAATAACAGGTTATATAACGTACCGACAGGTCGGTACGGTCCGGCCCCTTAGCCCATGTCCCGCATATTTCTGACGATATTTATTGGTTGAGGCTTGTTATCTCTCCACTTTAGGAGATTCGATTTACTCCCTAATGAGGATGGTAGTATTGAGATTATCTCACATTCTGTGGAACTGCCTGATATAGTAGCTTTGAATGGGTAGATTTATAGTGATTTTTTGGAATATAGATGATCGACTTCCGTTTTCCCGAGAACATTCGGGGTCCCCAGTAAATACCTTGCTCAAGATTTCTTTGGTCGGTTGGATGTTTGGGATATTCTTGTTCTTGTCAAGCTTTGGGAGATATTTTGGAGTTATAGACTAACAAAGCGTTGAGATAGAATTCCAGAATAGTTTAGCAATATGATTAATCACACAGAACATTAAATATACCTCATATACAATCCCGAATAGGATTGTCCAATACGAACGTAAGTTCTCAACCTTCACTTCCCTTCAACATTATCGCTTCTCGCCCTGTACTCCAACGCTTTCTTTGCCACATTTCCTACAGAAAATGTGCTCAGATATTACTTGAACCTCTTGGAAATCTTAACGAACTGGTTGTAGAAGATAGAAGCGATGAGATGTGAGCGACTAGTAACAACAACTTGCGACTAAACCATTGCTTTCAAGACCATGAGCTGTACGTTCTTCTGCATATGCATCTGCTTCAACTTTATCAAATATAAGAAGAATGGCCCCCCATCGTCTGGCGTTCATTGTCCACCCTCGTAGCTGTGACTCTACTGTAGCGAGATCGGTGCCAATATTGCTATAAGGACGCGAGATACGGGTCGTTCAGCGGAATCGGCTACACTTTCTGACGATGCTGTAAGTCTTGTAATTTATGTGGGAATTGAATTACTAACCCGATGTACGTGTCTTACTCCATCCAGGAGGTCCTGAACTTGGTTATGGTCTGAAGTTGCACGAATAATTTTCAAGTTACACAGGGTTCAGGCTACGTACCATGCAACAATGTAATTTGCCCCTGACCCTTCCCTTCCACAAAATTACCAGCCCGGTTCTTGCGCGAACTGGTCTCCACAGCTATCATGCTATAACTGACACCCCTGACTACCAAGGGAGTTGCAAAGCTCCTAACCAGTGGGTTATGACAAAGAGCTGTTGTGAGCAACCTCGATGCTTTGAAATATTCATTATTCGGAGTGTATTTAAAGGTGTACCGGTACTCAGTTACACAGGAGGCTTCATCATTCGATTTGATAGTCTGGATATGCCTGAAAATCAATAAATCAGCAGAGTCTTTCTGAAAATGTAAATGTTCGAAGAGTATTTGCATCGCTTAAAGAGGGAAATTTCCTTGATCGAAACGCGGGAACAATTCCCCCAGTCAAAAACGAGATATACACCATCAGCCATTTGAGATTCTTCGAGTGGCTTGAAAATACCCATTAAGGGGGACTTGATAGATCTCTACAGTACTCTAACACTCTCGTCTTAGCAGCTGCGTTTGTTGCCATGAAACTTAGAAAGTGGCTGGAGTATAACGATTGCACTGTCCGATGGGTTCGAAGAGAAGCTGGCCACAGATATCCCTTTGATTCCGCTGTACTTGCTGGTTTTCTGATTGATGCTACTATGATATCGAAGACGCCGATAGTCTTTCACTTCTACGAGCTCACCAAGAGATCCGAGAAACAACAAGGCTTAACTTTGGAACAAGCTTATGAAATGTTTCTTGTATATGCACTTATTCACCAGCTCATTGCCCTTCTTGAGCCGGAAGTTCACTGTGAGATTGATTCGAATCCTTTGCGGTTTTCTCAACTAGAGAAATCTTTAGAAAGCTGGAAAGAGGCATTCTCACATACTATCGATCTCTTGAATCTAGCAACTGGTATGCTTCTGTGTGTTATTGATGGTCTTGAATATATGGACTATGGAAAAGCGAAAGCAACAAGTAGTAATATATTAGCTGCGTAAAGGGGAGAAAGAACTTGGCAGGCAAGAATGGAGTAATCTTCAAGACCCTGTTCACCACAGCTAGCGCCTCTATGACATTAGATGACAGCTTCAAAGCAGACGAGACCGCATTAAATCATGAACCAAGACATCAAAACTATGGGAAGCCTGGGTCAGGACAGAAGTCGTTCTTGCGCAAAGTATCAACATTATATAACAATAGAAGTCTCAATATATCTTGGATCAGGTATCTATATCATCTTGATACACACATAAGCAGGGTGTAATGATTGACAATATGTTCGTACATAGCCGCTCATTGAAAAGTGGAAACAACAAATGATCTGATTTTATCTTACACTACCCAAAAACAATGAAGGGAGATGTGCCAGCTTGGTCTGCTCAGATCGTTTTTGACTGAAGCCAAATACCAGTAATTTGGAGGGTACTCTCAAGTGTTTGAGACAAGAAAGTGTAACCTTGAATTGAACTTGAATGTTGATATATGTCGTCCGAGAATAGTGGAGAGTTACGACTGCTTGTTTGTTTTGGTATGTGCAGGAACGGTTAGAATCTCCCTAAATCGGCCGATGACAGCCAGGAACTATTCCCAGTTTCCCCACATTTCGAATCCCCGGTATGCAACAAACCAAGTTTCCATCTGTACCACTTGCCTTACCTAGTGCCTCAAATGTAGTATATCATCGCCTTCGAGTTTCATCTCCAATCCAGACAACTCATCTTGATTGCGATCCTATCCGCGTTTCGTAATCTCATATATACACACGAGGCACGAAAGCTGCAAGGAGATTGCAAGGCAATAGGAAGGTTTATACATACCACTTGAACTGCACACATATTGTCGTTTTCAGTCACACCAGATGACTTGGCACTATGCGGCCTTTGTCATTGACACATACTCTTGAACTGGAACCGATGGTAGATTAGTCATGACTGAACTCAAATGTGAGTCTGCGTAGGTATTTGCAGAGTGTGGCTCGAACGCACAAGAAACACTCAAGCCAAATCATATAAAAGAAACAAAGCAGAGCTCTGTTGAAATTACTTAGACCCCATAAGGCAATATCATACTAAGGCTAGCCGTTAAATGCCGAAACACAGTTTCTGGATGGCTTTGAGAAAGCTCCACCACAAGCTCAAGAGTGAAAATGAGATGATCCGGTATGCAAGAACATTTCAAAGTTGCTGACAATCGAGAATTTCAAGATCCTTTGGCCATGTGAAAAGAAAAAAAGAACGAATTACTCCGACGATGTGATCCTATCTGGATATATCGCGGTTGGGATGATGTCGAGGAGGTCAAGACATGGCGCAGGCGACGAATCTCAGTAGTTGTATATGACTGTAGATCACGAGTACCTATGTACAGTCTCTATTGATACAGCAGAGTAAGAGCCTGCACAAATCATCGGCAAAGAAGAGTGTCAATAGTACTTTGAAGACAAAATATACATTTGAGATCCTGACCTGGAGAGTGTTTGAAGACGCGATGAGTAAATAAATGCATTTGTTTAACAAAATTCCCCTATTAATTAACAAGGTGTGCATGTATATACACTCCAGCATCACTTATTAATCCTTCTCTAACCTCCATCAGCAGCATTCACTAATTCCACACTCTAAAAATGATACACAGAGAGAAATCTTGCACCCGCGCTCTTTCTGCGCAAAAACCAATCCCACTCTCACGTGTCTAGACATATGGAATCCACCGCTTTGAAAATCCGCAGAATGGCAACCCAACCCCGATATTAATCCATCGACTCATCTGCCCCGCATCACGCCCTTCACTGCCATCTTGACATTGTTGATATTCTGCTTTCTGCGTCCTAGATGAATTCCTACAAACCTACTGGAACTCTAATTCAACTTTCTCTATTTCTCAATCTTCGAGTAGTATTCTCAATTCAGATATTGATTGTTTTGTTAAGGTCACATCCCACCTGGTAATAACATTCCACAAAAATGGCCGAAGAAGCAACAATCCGCCATGCACGTCGTGAAGGTAAAATCATGCTCAAATCCCATCCAATTTTTTCCTCCTCAAACTCCAACTATCTCTTCCTCTCCCTCCCCAATCCCACCCAAATCAAAATCTCACCCTAACCTTAAACACCAAACTAACCCCTCTCCACCCCCAGACGTCCCCGGAATCCTAACCCTCATCCACGAACTCGCAGCCTACGAACACGAATCCGCCTCCGTGCTCGCCACCCCCTCCTCCCTATCCAAAACCATTGCTTTCGCTCCCTCGCCCCTCGTTTCCCCTTCAAACACTACACCTTCTACAGGAGATGCTATATCTCCTACTCGACCCGCGCGTTGTCTACTTGTTTTTCCTCCCTCGTCCTCTTCTTCTTCAACCCAACCCCCGAGCCAATTGGAATGGCGCTTTATTTTTACAACTACTCAACCTGGCGCGCTTCAGCGGGTATCTATCTCGAGGATTTGTATGTACGGGAAAGCGCGCGGGGAAAGGGATATGGATCGAGATTGTTAAGTACCTTAGCGAAGGAGGTTGTGGATATGGAGGGAGGGAGATTGGAATGGAGTGTGTTGAAATGGAATGAACCTAGTATTAAGTTTTATGAGGGGAAGAGTGTGGGTGCTAAGGCGATGGATGGATGGCAGACGATGAGGGTTGATGGAGCGGCATTGGTGAAATTAGCGGAAAAAGCTAGGTAGTTTGAGAGGAGATAGGAAGTGCTTTGAAGAAGTCAAGGGGTATTTTAGTAAATGTTTTGAGCGTTATGATGTCACATGAGGAGAAAACTAGAAACCACCCGTATGAAAATCATTATAGAAGTCTTTTCTTCCGCCTCAAATAGCGATGCTACAGATTGAACAGTAACAGTGACATTGCCCCTAACGTATCAGTTGTTGCGTTTCACGCTTCACTGACTTCCTAATCTTTCTATCTGTGGTTCCCTGAGCTAACCTATCGTCTGGCAATTCGAACAACTCAGCATCTTTCAATGATGGCTTTGTAATCTCTCCCGCAGCGGATGGTGAACGTTGTCCTCCCCAAGTTATTGTGTGTTCTTTAGTGTTCTCATCTTGCACCATTTTTGATGAAAGACTCCAAATCATACCATATAGCCTTCGCATCGCTCGTGTCCTATTATGTTGTGGCGTATTAGAAGCTTGAGGATCATTTAGGTCAGTTTTCGTCGTTGTCTCGGCCCAAACATCCATATTAAGTCTGGCCGGTTTGTTATATAGTGAATCCATCTTTTCTCCAGCGGACTTGGCATCTTCATTTTGACTTTGGGGAACAGCAGCTTTTCGTCTTGGACGTGGACACTCGACTGGTTGTGTTCCTTCTGCCAAATCTCTCAACCTATTCCATTCGTGTTCGGGTAATGGTGGTAGAACTCGTTCTAAAAGACTTGCCCACCATGTGCGTTGCATATTTACTTTCCGTTTTTCTGGGAAGCTACGTCCCCATGCATTCGTTAACGGTATATCTGGCGTAAGCTTTTTTATCCTCCCTCTCATCGATTCCATAGGATTATTTGCTTGTTGACTCATGAGAAACAAATGCATTTCTTTGTGCTCTCGACGCTGTCTTTTGGATACAGCGTTTGCTCTGTCTATCTCAACATCTTTGGTCGCATCCAAATTCTTTGAAATCTGGCTATCGATAATTCGTGACAGTGCTGTATCATCTTGTGGTAATTCATCTTCTCCAGGTCTCAACAACTGAGTAATTAATTCCCTCCTTCTATGCCCTGCACGTCCATATGTTCTCAATAAGACATGTTGTAAATCAGGTATACTCCCTTCAAGATTTACACGCTCTAGTAAGTGTAATTTGGTGGCATTTTTTTTGGATCTTGTCTGCAGTTTCTTCAAATCAACCTTTGATCGTAAATAATCGGTTCCCCAATATTTTGGGTTGAGTTTTCGAGGATCGGGAGGATTGAATCGTTTGACGAGAAGATCATGGACGAAAGTTCTTGCGGCAGAATCAGGAAGATAGGTCGCCTCTCTCAGGAGAGCTCGATATTGTTTTCGGAAATGTGGTAGGTATTCCTTTACTTGTAGGGGCAGAGGGTAAACGGTTTTGCTTATGGACGGCATTGGAGCTGGGGGTCGCTGGGGGTTATAAAACGGCAAGCAGTATTCAACAATATAAAATGTATGAAACGAATGAAAAGAAGCAGCAAGAAGCAGAATACTTCCTGATCCTTTGAGGAGAGTCAAAAGGGACCTGGGTAGTTGCCAAATTATTGCATTGAAGGTTGATGAAGAGAAATATTGTTGTCGCCTTTAAATATAGGCATTGAGTCGCGTGTTGGGAGGAATTTACCTACAGAGTACAGTATAGCAATGAAATGAAGTCGTCTTCAAATCGAATCTCAAATTCAAGGAAGGATCTTGGCATTGAGTAATGGCTCATATGAAGATATATTTGTCGACGGCGTAGAAACAATTGTATGCCAGAACGTACATACGGAGTTTGTAGTAAAAGTAGTAGGGAGGCATAAACTCGTATATTCTCTTTTGCTGAGGTCGTGTCAAGGCCTGCTTACATAATACTCCCCATTACACATTTATCCACCCAAAAGGTCATTCTAGCTTCGCGAACCGTCACGTCAAAGTCCAATTAAATTTCCATCCAACCCCCCCACACCAATACATTCCAATAATACACCAATTCTCAAAACCACTTTACACCTCCTCGCGCTTGATACACGAAAGACACGTCGACCTCACCCCTGTTTAGATATTGAGTCGCGTTCCCCTTATCGTCATTGATCTGAGTCTCATTGCAGGTGAATGCGCTCAGTGAATATTGAATTGACAAAGCTCCTTGTTTCAAGGATCTTACCGTCCTCGGTGACGCGATTGCCATTCGACTAATACACATTGTCGCAACATCTCGATATCAGTTGAGATCTCTTATTCTATGGCAGCGACGAGAATCAAATCCAATCCTCTACCTCTTGCGAATGCATCAGAATCAAAGCAAAATCATCTGCCGCCAAATACATATTCTGCAAACAATAGCGCCCCCGATCGTGGCCAAGATTCGACTCGATTTCGATCCGAAATGTCAATCAGTATGAGCCAAGGGTCACAGCCTGGTGGTTTAATGATGCAACCAGGTGGACCTTTTCGTCAATACGACTCAAGCGGTGCCATGAATCGTAGAGATATGGCACCTCAAATCTATTCGGTACGTTATCGCTGAAATCACTGAAAACTAAGCTGTTACTAATCTTTTACAGGCCGTATATTCCGGTGTTGATGTATACGAAATGGAAGTTAATCGTATTGCAGTCATGCGACGGAGAAAAGATAGTTGGCTTAATGCTACCCAGATATTGAAAGTAGCAGGAATCGAAAAAGGAAAGCGAACAAAGGTCCTCGAGAAAGAAATTTTGATTGGAGATCATGAGAAAGTCCAGGGTGGGTACGGAAAATATCAAGGAACTTGGATCCGATTCGAAAGAGGCGTTGAATTTTGCAAACAATACGGCGTGGAGGAACTTCTACGGCCACTTTTAAGCTATGATATGGGCCAAGATGGAGGTATTGCAGGGCAAGGTGGAATTGATACTCCAACGAAGGAACAAGCAATGGCTGCACAAAGAAAGAGACTTTATAATTCAGGAACCGAGAATCGTAATATTGGACAATCCGGAACATTTTTTAAAAATATCTCGAATCAAGCTTCCCTCGCAGTCGCAGCAATTAGCAAAGCCCGATTTGATTCACCCGTTCCTAGGAATCGCAACGGTAGCGCAAGACCTCCTACTTTTAGCAGACAATCTTCACAACAAATGAGTCAAGAAACTACATTCCCCAACTCACAACAAAGTATGCAAAGCTTTGTTTCTAATGAAGGTTTAACGAATGGAGATTCGGCTTATGCAACTCAATCCCAATTTCAATTCTCGCATACTGGTAGAGAGGATGGAGATTTCCAAGAGCCGCCACGGAAAAGACGAAGAGAATCTCTCGAGCCACCGAATGATAGCCAACAGTCGATGAATGGTGGTTATAATATGTCATTGCGAGAGCCGTCTCCAACCGAACCTAATGATTCATTCTTCTATCGTCAAGAGCTAGGCCTATCACAAGAGGAAGAAGCTCCAATGCCGTTACCACCTCTACCAGAAAATCAACACAATGGAAAGAAGGGACTGACTCTATTGTCACTCTTTCATAACGAGAATTCTTACTTGGGGACGAATGAGCACAATGACCAGGAGGCGTTTCGTACTATGTCCGGTGTGGAACTCGATATTCCTATAGACAAATCAGCCAATACTGCCGTTCATTGGGCCGCTACTCTTGCAAGATTGCCTGTTTTACAAAAGCTCATTCAATCCGGCGCAAGCATATATCGAGTCAATCTCAGAGGAGAGACTGCATTGATGAGAGCATGTTGTGTAGCTAACAATTTGGATCAAGGAAGTTTCCCGGACCTTCTTGAATTACTCGGCAACACTATTGGCTTCCAGGACAATCGTGGACGAACAGTCTTACATCATATAGCTGTCACTTCAGCTGTCAAAGGTCGCAGCCCTGCTAGCAAATATTATCTTGAATCACTTCTCGAATTTGTTGTTAGGAAAGGTCGTTCATTCAATGGTCAATCACAAAACAATGAGCCTAATCCTCATGCCATGGATATTGGTCGATTTATGTCTGAAATGGTAAATGCACAGGACAATTCAGGTGATACTGCTCTCAATATTGCAGCTAGAGTCGGCAACAAAAGTATTATCTCCCAACTCATGGAAGTTGGAGCAGATCCTGAAATTCAAAACAATTCCAAGTTACGGCCATCAGATTTCATTGGGGGCTTGACAAACCCTGGAGATCGTTTAGGTCTTGCAAGTCCCGATAAGAGAGGAAATAAAGCCACGCGTGAAACTAGTGGTGAAATTATTGAATGTAAGTTTCTGTCATTCTACTACCTACCTTGAATTCTTTCTAATATAATGTCAGCCATAAATGCAACACTCCAATCAACACTTGAAGATTTTGGAAAAGAAGTAGAAGCTAAACAAGCTCAAATCGACTCAATTCATGCCAAACTTCGCGAAGCATCTGCAAGCTTAGGAGAAGAACGGCGTGCAATGGAAGCAAAACAAGAACGTAATAGACAACGTGAAGAACGTGATCTCAAAATCGCAAACCTCACTCGAGCCGCAGAAGAAGAAAGTATGAAATTACTTCAGCTTCAACAACAATTCAATCAACCTACTTCAGATCTAGACCTTGAAATGCATCTTGGTGATGCAGATAAATCTTTGGCGGTTCCACAAATTCCTGCAGATATCAATAACACTCCGACGAGAAATTCGAATCTTAAAGTAGATCATGCGAATAAACAAGCGTTGTTGCAACAATTACCTTCGCTACATATTCTTCAAGCGAGAATCATGGCTTATAAAGCTAATAATGATAATTTGGAAAGAAGCGTTCAAGAATTGAGAAGTAAGGATACTGGCAGGATAGCAAAGTATAAGAAAATTATTAGTTTGTGTACGGGTGTGGATGTTTCGAAGGTGGATAGTGTTATTGAGGGGTTAGCGAGAGCGGTGGAGAGTGAGAGTGATGTTGATTTAAACAGGGTTCGAGAGTTTCTGACGAGGGTTGAGGGGGTATAAAGGGGTTTCGGTTTCTGGAGGAGAGTTCGACAAGAAGAGAGGAATATGATCTGGTATAATGTAGGAAGGTGTGGAAAATGTGCATATATAATGGGATTCTGTGGATTCGGTCTAGTCTGCATGGTCGGCGTTTGGGTGGGAGGTTCGGTATACTCATGTGGATATGATTATATGTTGGGGCATCGCACTACTCTGTATATGGATATTGGAAGAGGAAAGGAGGCTTTTCTTGCATTCAGAAAGAATAGTATCTCCTATCTGTGCTGTGCTATAGATATATGGTAGGAATAGAACGGAACGGGACTAGTAGAAGTTATCACCTATTTAATGGAGATTCTGAATCCGATATTTTTCTCTGTGTTTTATTTGGGTTTGGTTTTGATATTATCAATGCGATGTGTGAGTGTAATGTTTGAATGCGCACTGAAGGGGATTTCCATTTCGCAGTGATATTTTCCAACGCTGAAGTACTCATTGGCTATTCGAGGAGATGGATTCTGCTAAACACCAATACCTAAGTGGGAAAGGTTGATGTAAACCTTCGGATATAATTCCCAGTTATAGTTAATTATTTCAGACCAAGGTGTCATGTCCCGAAGTGTGATGTTCCCAGTGGAATACTTAAGTGAGGTAGGCTTACGGTTTGAATCACTGCGGCGAGAAAACAGACTAGTTGTAAGAAACTCCCAGGTTGTGAGTTCACCAGTGGGTGGGTGTACGGACTGGCCGGACACTTCTCAATTATCGAAATTCATAATAAATCCATCGTTCGATTCTTTGATACTAGAATCCAAACTTTTGTTATCCAATCTATAACAATTCATCTTATTTAGTTTCAGAGTATCTTCATCAATATTGTAAGAGATTTTGCCGAGTCAATGTTCGCAGTGTCCTGTCAGTATTTGTACCCACTAGTGAGTATGTGAAATATCGACGAGTAAATTCTTGACTGTTACTATGCAGACACCTAGAATCATCCGTGTTGCACGCTCTAGAACGAGTCATTTGTACAACATTTTTCCTTTTCGAGTCAGTTTCTCTTCATTATGGGCACGGCGAATTTACCTTTAAAGGAGTCGAAGTTCCCCCAGTCGTGGGTTCTCTTCTTTCCATTACCGAGTTTCACAACTTTCTATTGAGATTAACGAAAAAGCAAAGGCAAAAATGGAAAACAATAACTCCACTCTCCGCAGCACGTTTACACTTGGTGACTGCGGGGCAGCCATCGGGCGTCAGTGCAGCAGATTATGGGGATCAAATCAAAACGACAGAGATAATCTAGAAGCATACATTCCGGGACAAACTGAGCCAGGCCCTTCTAGTAGAGATTCAAATAGGCGTAGATCCCACCCTACTTCTACATCTTGCTCTGGTTCTCGCGGTCCTGGTAGTTGCCATCCGAATACTCCTATCTCTTCTCAAGCTCAGATTTATCATCGCTCATACCCAGACAGACAGACTGGACTTGAAAATGGGACAGCTCGTTATTCCACGCAATTAACCCGTTTCCAACAGAATACACAACCATCAATGCGACCACCAATGCAATATCCCATACCATCACCGAGGACTTTTCACACCAGTGCGGATTCTCGGAACATAGCTACAGCTGGTAGATCCAGTCGTCTCAGCAGCTCATCCAGTCAAATACCCAGTGGGCCAAGCTCTTCTAGATTCCGTGAGTCAACTAGAGAGAGTTATAGTCGTGGCACGCGGAGAATACGAGCTGGGTATGAAGAGATTTTATAAGATCATTCTTCTCTTGACTTTTCTAACTTGCTGACTCGGATCACTGATTTTCCTTGATGTAGATCGGGTTCTACGATTCTACGGCCGAATGGCTATGCGTATGTTTCTGCTGATATGCCTACAAGACGTGAAGCTACCGCAGGTGTAGCGAGCCATCAGCTAGATGATTCCCGTTATGGGAAGGAACATGTTTGAGATAGCGAAGCTTGCTTGGAAATTTGGTTATGTTGTGGCTTCTGGGTGGGTAATGATCAATGAATTAATGATTTGTGATGGGGTTGTTGTACAAGGAGAGTATTTGAAACCGGAAGGGAAAAGTTTGGAAGAATGTGATGGGGGCTGAGGAGTCAAAATGATATGAAGTGTGGTAAAAAGAAAGAAAAAGGAATAATGTAGCTTGGATGCCTATACAGATTGGGACATGCAGACTGATGAGTGGAAATTAAACGTACAATTTGAATCTTTGCAGACTAATATCGAGAAATACATGTGAGTAATGAGTAATTCGAAACGAGAGAATCGAACATATTGTATTTATTGTCATTGTTGAATGTGACCGAGTCAGAAGATATGAATCCTCGAAAGTTGAAAGTCGGAGTCTGAGTCGATTTTCTCTGTTGTATTTGCCTGGAGCATACCTCCAAGATTCAACTCCCTCTGGTTTTACAATTTGTTCTTTTCAACTACCATACTTTCTCGTCAAGCAGTTACACTTCAATATACATTCAAAGTCAATTAAAAATGTTTGATAGATTGCGACAAATAGTGCGGAGCACGCCAGGAGATTCACGGCGCAGAGGTCGGCGCCGTGGGGAGGGTAGGGGAGAAACTGTAGGAGCTACTAGTGTTGGAAGCATGGGAAGGGCTAGAGAAGGGACCATAGGACAGAATAGGGAGCAAGCGAGCGGTGTAGGACATATCGGACAGCACGAATATCAATACCGAGGACCAGCTCCACCAAATTCGCATAATCAATCAATCTCCTCTCCCAGTAGAAGCTGGAATATTTTTAGATCTCGTCATACTCGATATGGAGATCCTACTCCCCCTCTTCATCATAGTCCGTCTACTTCTCGCGATTCGTCTCTTCCTCCTCGCTACCTTTCTCCTCCACCTTACGGTACTCCTTACGAGGCTTCCTCTCCTCTTTTCGAGCATGGTCGCAGATCTACATCTTCAAGGTCTGGAAGTGTCGGATTAGTCCCCGGTAGTCAGCACAACATAGCGACAGTGAGGCATGCAGACGCAGGCTCAAGACGACAAACTGCAGCAAGTAGACTTTCTGAGAGTTATCCTCCTTCCTATAGATCAACCGATGATACAAGCTTTCATTCCTATACATCAAGAGAAGCCCTTCTGTCTCCTCATACATCACGCGAAAGGAGGTCCCATTCTTCTCGTACATCAGCAAGGAGACAAAGTCATCGTTCTTCTTATGGATCACCGGAGAGACCCCATACTTCTTCTTCAAGAGCTGGTGGAAGTGGCTATTCGTCTTGATGTATCTGGGGAATTCTCCATTCTAAGTATGAAATTCTTTCATGTCGCTGAAATCTTAATTCGTCTCCCCAAGCCTTCCTATTCTATTCACTGATGTCACTAACTTTTAGACCCAGATTAAATAATATTGCTACACAGAATGATCTATATGCATCCGCCACAGATCTATCAATTCATAGACACGATTGAAGTGGCAGTAAATGTTTGGATAGTTTTTAGAAGCTGTGATGAAGGTGGAAAATGAAACGGGTAGGGATATACAATTAGCATACGATGTAATTAAGAAGATTTAGAGATAGTGGGTTAGAATACTCAATTTTCAACGGCATGACATTATAAAAATACTCACATGGATTGGAAAAGTAAATGAGCAACTGAAGATAGCAAATATGACTGCTTGTATTTCCATTGTTGTTAAATATAACAATCATCATACATGAACCTTCAAACTTTCAAATTCGAAAATAGACTTCGAGTCAGATTTCCTCGATATGTCTGCTCAGAATTTACCTCTTAAGAACTCTAGTTCCCCAGGCTTTGATCCTTCTCTTTCTCAACTACTTTCCATTAGAAACCGAGTCTCATTTACGTTTACGATAACTCCAAAAATGTTTCGCAAGTTCAATAAAACATTCCGAAACCATGCCTCTGGAAAGCAACAGTCTGGAAATGGTGAACCGCTTCTTGCAGGGTCTGAATAGCTTAGACCCTCACCGCAAGGTACACGCCAATCTAGTATGAACGCTTCAACTCTCCCTTTTCTTTCTTTCGGTAGACGTCGAAATGACAGAGATTCTCGCAACCTTTCATCAGTACAAGAAAGTAGAGTCCCGCAGACACCTCAATATGCTCCCTCGTCTCCTCCTCATTTACCTCGTCGTAGCCAACATTCTACTTCTCGTTATATTCAAAGTAATGGAAATGGCTGTCTATCTACATCCACACGTGCTGAAAGTTTTGTATCAAGCTCTAGGATTCGTCATACTACACCAATTATGGGACGTACAAAAAGGAATCCCAGAGGGATAATTGTACACAATAGTTTACCTGGAGATAAGCTTCGTCCCTCCTCTGCATCAAGGGACGAGTCCTAATCTTCTATTCCAAGATCTATCATTGTCGAACGGCCAAGTAAGAAGTAAGTAAACTCTTTTCACGACTGAACACCTTCCCTAGCGCCCTATTCAATCGAACCCCAATACTTGTCAAGATATGTATATCTTTGCATGACACCGTTACTAAATATCAATTCCTAGATCCGGGTTACGCTATTTTTCACCTCGAACTCTTGAGAGAGAGCGCCGGCATCGACAATACCATGAGTAAGGCGGATCAAGATGTGATGGTGGTTGCGCTTTTCAATCCACGAGACCAGATTAGTTCATTAGACAGGTGAAGTATTTTAGTAAGAGATTTGGTGGAAGAAATGTTTGTCGGTTAAGGTTAAAGTATGGTCGGGAGATCAAAGGATGGAGATATACAATGTGCAATTCGCAATTTGAACTATGAAGATCGAGGGATAGAATAATTAAGAATAATGAAAAGCATGATTTTACACTACTCATTTTGGTTGGAAAAGTAAATGAGCAATGGAAAATAATGAGTGCGACTGTCTGTACATTATGACAGTCATTAAATATGAATCATTGTCTTCAATATTCGAGTCAAACCTCCTTAACAGGTTTTACTTACAATCCTTCGCCTTTTAAGGACTCGCGTTTCCCTGGCTTTCAGCTTTGGCTTAATTCTTTACACTCAAGACGCCTTTCTCCGATCACTAGATTCTTGATCAACTCTCAATATTAATACTCAATAAAGATCGACCATGGGATTTCTCAGCATAATCACATCACTAACTCCAGGAGATCCTCGGTCCCGACTTCCACCCCCACGACGTGAAGAAAGTGGTAGGGGACCGAGCCAGCGTGCTCCTCCTTTCAGTCCTCCGCTTTATGAAGCTCCCCCTCCTTCTTACGAATCTCTTTCAACTACATCTACGAGACCTGAGGGTTTTGAATCAAAGTCTGACAGTCATCTCGCCACAGCAAGACAGAATTCTGGAAGTTTAGTCGCACCCAGCGGGCCAACTAACAGGCCGCAATCTTCTCGCTCATTACAAAAGGAGAGACCTCATTCTTCTTATACACCAGAAGTCGACCGCCGATTCTCCCAGGCATCAGCCGAGGAGGCTCGTCGCTCTTCTCGTACGTCAGAGGAGAGTCGTTGCTCCTCTACAAGTGAACCTGGTTCTTCCCATGAACTCACCAAGGACAGGCGACCCTCTACCACAGGAATGAGGTATGAATACTCTGCAACATAGTTTTTCCATATGTCTCGATCCTCCTATGAGCGGTCAGCATATCCATTAGAATTACTAACCTTCAGACGCAGATCCAAAGGTACTTTTCGACGCCAAACTCACCATGAGTCTACAGATGTGGATAATCATACATCGGGTACTTGTATTCGCTGCAGAACTGAAGCTTCACATGTCCCAAGAAGCTCTGAGCAAGCTCGGGTCACTACTGGTTTTGCGACATACGATGAATGGTGCACTCGCTCCAGATAAATATTTGAGCTTATGTCTTGCAGCTGGCTTGCGAGAAAATATCACAGGATTGGTAGTTGAAAGGTTGATTAGGGAAAATGTCTCCTAGGAAAATCCGTAAAGACCACGGTAGTGGTGCGAAGTAAGGTGGCATGTAATATTGGATTTACCGTTTGAGAGGTCTGAAAGATAAAAAAGAGATACAGATCAGATTGAAAGGAAGATAGTATGCAGTAGAACACAACTAGCATGGGTTTTTATAATGAGTGTGGAAAGACCAAATGAGAATCAGAAACAAGTGGATATCTCTGATGCAGAGTCATACGGTACTAAAAGAGTTATAAATGACATGAGTATTCGATATGCGTTCTTTCAGTTAAATCTCTCATTCTGGATATTCGTTATTGTGTTGAGTCCTTGGATCCTCTACTGAATTTCGAGTACAATTTTCTTTCAGATCCTTGGACGTCCAGAATTACTTAAGCCGAGTCTTGATATTCGAGTTTCCTGCGAGGTAAAGGAGTCAGATATCTGGAGTTTCCCTAGAGTCATTCCTGTCTCTGCTTAGGTTTGTTGCTTCGAGAATTTGACTACCAACTGCAATCTTTGAATATGACCAACCCCCAACTTTTGTAACTCTTCATCAACCTCAAAGTCAAAACCATTATCAGACTAACAGTATCGAAGTGTTTGCAGAAGCTTTGGTCATAAACAATTGTTCCGTCTGGAGTCATTAAGAACAAGTCCTCGGTGTTCTTACCGGTCTAAACTGCTCATTGTAAAGGATGAATCGGATTATAGGTATGACTCGAGTATAATTCAACGACTCATTTTACTACTTCCTTGGATCGTGTGTTTGTTATCCCACATTTGAGCTTTTAATTTTGACCTCTTTCAACCTCCACACTTCTCCTCAACTTCAATATTCAAACCAATATCAGCATCAAAATCAAACTGTCAAGACCAAGCAGCGCAGACCACAACAGTAGACCCGCCTCTACGCATCAATCTGTAAACCAACGATTAAGTACTCCGCATTCTCGGGCGTCAAATAATGAATCCGTTACTGGAACTTCAGATTCACATCGATTGTCAAGCGGTCATGGAAGAGTAAAAATCGAGGAATGTTTTCGGATAGTACCTTTCTTCCAGAGGACGGCGGTAAAGAAGAGATGACAGGGAGTTTGCAAACTTTTGCGAAGAAAAAGAACGACTTTCTGCTGAAAATCGCAGAAAAGTACTCGAGGGTAAATATAGAGACGAGGAGACGAGACGCAGAGAAAGATTAGAAGAGATATTAGTAGAGAAAGATAAAGTAGGAAATGAAGGGAGAGTACAAAGAATGGAAGGAAGTAGCGGTTGGTATCAACATGATCTGGAACGAGAAGAAAAAAGAAGACAGCAGAAAGAAATATCCAGAAAAATAGCAGCATTGCCACCGAGACAAAGATTTCGAGAGGAAAGACAAATCGCAAAAAGAGCAGAAGAGGAAAGAATCCAGAAGGATAAATCCGGAAAGGGAGAAAGAGCACGAGAGCTAGACAAATTGGAACGAAAAGACAACATACAGAGGGCAAGAAGATTGTGCGAGAATTACGGATGTACAGAAGGAGAAAGACTAGGGCAGGAAAGTCAACTCTTGCGTTTGGATAGTGCGTGGGAACGTGGATTTGATGCCAGAAGAGAAGATGTCCGGAAATAGGCATTAGGATTGACATATCGACCACATCATTATCCTGTCGTGCCTTTTTGTAGTTGGTTAGGAACTCGTCCTTCAATACCGTTACTGCGACAAAGGCCTTCTATGCCTCAACTTCATCGACCTGCTCCACGCCCTCTACCACCTCTACCACCTCCCCCACCTCCACCCTCTCAATCCTCTCAACCGCCTCGGCCTCTCCGACCTCCTCAATCCCTACCTCCTCCTCCTCCTCCTCCTCCTCCTCCTCCTCGTCGCCCTGCTCCATCTCTGCCTTGTAACAACAATCCTCCACCTAGAACTCAATCCGAACACATTCCACCACCACCACCACCTTGTAGTTCTCGCCATCACCAACCCTGACCTACCTGAACCTCGCTCTTCAAGCCGTGGTCGAAGCCATCGCTCAACCTCAAAGCATACGTGAACAGTAGCAATTGTTGCAAAGCACAATGAAAACAAGAACACATCAAAGAACGATCAACCAGCCGCACCAAGAAACTCCCCATCTAAACACACAGACAAAAAGTTTCTTTCGAGAACTTCTAGCATCAAAGCATCTGGAAAAGCTCGAGTGAAGGATTGTATTCAAGTAGGGGCCGCTGTTGGGAAAGCTGGAGCCGATGTTCGAAGAGTGGTATGGAATATAGTGACAATTGCCGCTCTCGCAATTGCAGACTAGGTGTATGTACCGGTAGTTCCTTTACCTCTTCATGTCATTACTCTTTCTCCTTTTTGTTTTCCCAACCCAACAAATGCACGAACCTACGAGGATCGCTTGATCCCAACTTCAGACCCAGTAGTACTATTACCAGGTCACGATTGATATAAGGTTACAAAATATCGCCACAACCATGAAGATATATACGTACTGGGTATGTATCTGACCATGTCTGGCAGTATTGGAGTGTTAATGATGGAGGGAGATTAAGCTGGGTTCATGTTTTTGCATTACAAACGGATGAAATGTAGAAAGTATCTTTAAAGTAGTCAATAAATTTGCCAATGTGCGTCTGTGTTATTGTAGCTTTACATACTCCTGTGACTTCATTCTAAAGAGTGATAATCTTAATACACAGATAGTTGAATATCGTTGATCTGTTATGGAAAAACTGCGCGCATCTTTTCTCAAACTTTCATACTCTTTCATCCTCCCCCAACCACTCCACTCCCCCATAACTTTGTCATAACCACTTCACCTCCTCCACACCCCCCATCACCCACCATCAACTCAACTCCCCCTCCCTCTACCCCCCATCAAAAGTGGAGAACCACACCACACCAAGCATACATACACCATCTCACCCTCCTCCCCACAATAACCCAACGCCACCCCTCAGACATGCAACAAAACCCACACTCAAGCAGCACTAACCATAGCAACTGTGCTATCGCAATCCACAAGATCAATCTAGCTAGCGCCACCACTTCGAGATCTGCGGTGAAATTCGCAAGAAAGCCCGCGTGAGAAGATCAGTTGCAGAAATAGCAACTGTACTATTGTATTCACCACCTGGGGTTTATAGCACGAAGTAAGTCAGCGCGAGTTTAGATATGCAGCAAAATCCCTCGTCGAGTAATTTGATGTGAGGAGAGCAGGAAAGACAAAGTGAAGAGATAGCATCTGGGTTCCCGCGAGGAACACATTTTACGATCAAGCATCGTCAGTATTCTCAATAACGATTCCACACTGAGTCCAATTTAAAGTCTGACATTCCATTAATATCATGAGAACGCGACAACAAATGAATGAAGTGAAGATTGACCTCTCATCTCGTCTCGCGTCGTCTCTTCTCGCCACAGTGGCACCAACCACCACACCTTAATTTCCCTCGAGAGTCAAGACTCTAGCCCCTATCAAAAAAACAGACAATCGCCACCGGAACCACCGAGACAACACGACCTGCAACAAAAACATACCAAAACGCTCCCAACCTCTCCTCCCACCTCTCACCAATCAACACCCAAACCGTTCTTCATTTTCCTCATTACATGTGTGATTTCTGCAGCAACAATAACAACCACAATAATAGCCTGAACACCCCCAGCACCGCGCTTACTAACCCGCGCCCACCCACCAATCAGCCTCCTCTCACCAACTATCGGCGTGTCCGAAAGTGGAAATGAGACAGGTTGGTCGGACGTCTTGTGCTGTACGAGGCAGATCTTAACGTTCTTCCAGAGTCAGAGCCAGATATAAATCTATTGAATAAATCGATCTATTGAATCGATAACTCGATAACTCGATATATAAATCAATAAACAAATATTCCACCCTCGCGACATCCACCTAGTGATCTCGACTCGCAAACTCAATATGGATCACCAGCCAATGAGAGATTCGGAGCTCTTCGTGGCGTGTCTGGTCGGGCATACCGAGACGTGTAGATGTGCAACAAAACTCTCTACCGCCCTGGGTATTTGCTCTGAAGAAACCACGAGGGTGTAACTTGTAATATATATCTGAGATTTTACATAATACAAAACACTAGATCCAACATGCCACCTATTCGAGACTTCCTTAGCTTTCCAAAAGGTAAATCTAATATCCATCTAATCTCGCCCAGACACTCTACACTCTACATTCCACATTCCAACGGAGATACCGAGAATTGTAGATATGCAACAAGATCTCTTTCTCTGTTGTCTATTCCAAATCCAACATCTAACACACTACACGTCCCCAGCATCCCATAAATCCAAACACCAAGTTTCAAAACTTCCCGTTCGGTCTCTTGAACGAATCTAGTCTCATGCGTGGCAGACGCATACGGACAGACCGAGAGTTGTAGATGTGCAACAAACTCAAATCCCCATCCATCCCGTATCCAACCATCTTGAGACTCAATCAGCTACGCACAATCCAATCCACTCACGAACTTCCCAACTTCCCTTCTTCCCTTCTTCCAGCCTGTTGATTCTAGTTTGGATTTCGTGTCAAACATTCGATCTAATATCTGCAGACGGAAATACGAGATCTGTAGATGTGCAACAAATCTTCAAATCTCCACCTACGCATCCTCATCAAATATGTCAACACTCTTGATTGGTTTTCACACTCTAGTCCCATCATAAGCTTCCTAACCTCTTCTCCTCTAATCCCTTTATTCTATATCCAACTTAGTTAGCTTCAAACATTCTACATGCAAATGGCAATACGAGATTTTGTAGACATGCAACAAATTTTCCAATCTTCCAATTTCCACCTATCCATCCATCCTCTATCGAATCGAAACGACACATCTCGAGACAAATTATGAATTTCCAAACCCTAATCCAATCACGAGCCACCCACATCTCTCCCAACCTATCAATTCTCTTCGAGGTTAAATCTCACCCCCAACATGCGACACACAAACAGAGATACGAGATCTATAGATATGCAACAAGTCCTCTCTCTGAAACCTCTCCGCGCAACCACTCTAGCCTATCAATCAGCTGCGATGTCGTCCCCACCCCTCTGCCCACAAAGAGAAATGCGAGATCTGTAGACGCAACAAATCCTCTCATTCGCTCTCCCTGTTCCCCGCACGACTTGTACGACCAAAAAGTACACCACCACACCACACCACACTCCACTCCACTCCACTCACAGACACACCGTGAGCAGAAGAGCAAAACGAGTGCGACAAACTCTCGACAAAGTCGAAAATCGCAAATCGCAAATCTTACACAAATCTTCGGATGTCAAAATTGAATCAGAAATCAGAAATGATACATCAATAATCAGATCACTCAGAAACACATCACACTTTCCAATCTCCTAACATCTCTATATTTCTGAAACCAATAATCGTAATCTTCTCATTTGATACACAGTCTTAAAGAGAGTTAGTTATAGTATATTTCTAATTCGAACATGCGAGTTTTCCACCCACAGGGTATGTAACAGACAGACAGACAGACACATCCCACCAAAGAGCCAAATACAAAATGCTCAGTGTCACACGAGGAGATCTCCAAACCTCTCCCAGCCACCTCGTCATTCGATGCCGCACCGAGCCAGCTCCAAACATTCCTACACATGAACAAAGATGCGAGATCGGTAGAGACGCACCAAATCTCTCATGCGTTCTCCCCACTGTCCAATTCTCCATTTTCTAAGCGCTAAGTTTCCAGATCTCTCCTGGCCGCCGCGTCTTGGTTCTGGCGTAGATCTAATCCGAAATATTCAAGCCCCTTATGGAAATACGAGATGTGTAGATATGCAATAGACCCTCTCTCCTCAAACCCTCTCCTCAAACCCTCTCCTCAAACCCTCTTCTCAAATCTCTCCTCTCAACCTTTCTCCATCTCTTTAGTCTCTCAATCTTACACCAAATAATCTCAATCCCAACTATCCCAAACCCTCACGAGGATACCGAGATCTGTAGATATGCAACAAACCCTTTCCATCTCATCTCATCCCATTCCATCCCATCCCATAACCTCAACACACACGCACTCCTATCAACTCCTCCACCTCACCAGCTCAAGATCACTTACAACAATAACAACAATAAAAGTAGTACTTCGAATCACCAATACCAAGCATCAACACCTCAATTTTCTCTCCCAGATCCAAAGTCAAAGATCGTAGATCAATAAATAAATAAATCAAATTCGCATATGAATCATATCGTAATGTGATTCCCTATAAACTTATCTTCATTGATGACAATGACAAGACAAAATAACAATCGCAACAAACCACCGAAGAACTTCCTTTCATCGTCCATTCCATCACCTATTACCACCATCGTCGTTCACCCTTTAACGCCATCCATCATTCATCCATCATCACTTCATGCAAGAAATAAGAATCAAAAATCAAAAGTCAAAGACCATCAAATATCCTCCTCCTCCCCATTCCCTTTTCCACTTTCTTTCTCTTTCCCACCCTTCTCATGCCCTGTCTCTTTTTCATTAAGTATAAATACTCTCCGTCCAACTATTGACCTGCAATCCCGTTTCCGCCATCGGTGCATCCTTCAAGAATTCCAATGGCATCCAAACTAAATGTCCCTTGATCTGATCTAACTTCTGTCTGATTTCCTGTGGTGGAATCATACGATCATAGATATGACCTGAACGAATACCCTTTGGTGGAAGGAATTTATCATAATCATCAAAGGTTTTGACTGTGGTTTGTTAGTGAGAGTGAAATCAGAAGAAAAGGCAGGAGATACGAGGCAGCGGAGGAAGTGAAGTAGGAATGGGCAAGTTTTAACAGGAACAGAGATAGGAAGAAAAAAACATACCAAAATTATCTGGATCAGCATGAAACAATTGTCTGAACATCTGAGTATTCTTCGTCGCTCTACCAATCCACATATCCCAAAGCTCATCACTTAATGGGTCCTCAACAAATCCAAATGTCTCCCCCTCATCATGAATATCATTTGGAATATTCGGTGGTTGAGCATTTGGATCATCATCTGCATCCAAGTCTTGTGGTAGAAGTAGACCCAAATGTTCACGCCAAAGATATTTTCTCAGCGTAGATGCATGGTAACCTGCTTCGTATGGTTGTCCATCCATTGTACTTTGGACAGTTCTTGTATCCGTCATGACGATTGAAAGTTCACTGTCATGAATACCTAACTGTGAACGATCGTTGAGATTCGAACTTCCACAAATAACTGTTCTATCATCAACAATTAGAACTTTGCCATGGATGTAAAGTTCTTCCTGAATCCAGTTATCAGCTTCTCCCGCAAGATCACCTTCCCATGGCTCATCAACCAAGTTTGGTTGCATATGCATAGCATTCTTCGCCACACTATCAGTACTATTTGGTTTATGATCCGTGCCCGCTGCTTCTGCCTTTGCTTCAAATTTTCTCTTGGCATCAGTTCTCCTTTCTTGAGCTTCATCTCCAGAATCATCATGATGTATAGCATGGTCAAACTTATCTTTCAACTCATCATGCTTTTCAACTTCTTGAACTCCTTCCCCGTGAATACCCGAGTCCATAATTTCCTCTGCCTCTGCTCTTTGTACATCTTGGTACTTGACACCAGATTCTTCCTCTTGCTTTTTGACGGCTGGAGTAACATTCAAACGATCATAAGACCGTAAATTAAAGAAAAAGATATGTTGTTCTGGCTCAACACCTTCCTTTCTAATTTGTTCGAATATCGAATGTTCACCTCGACAAATAGATTTGTACTGGTAATCCATAATAGCTCGCGTACCTGTCGCTGCATCATCTCTGAGATCACCAGCAAAGCCGGGAATAGAAGGAATCAAAATGATGACTCGGAATTTTCTCCCTTCTTTTCCAGCTCTGACAACAGCATCAACAATCGCCCTTCCAATAGTATTCCTAATTGGAGCTTGTTGATCACCCGTGGCAGTGATGAAGAATTGGTTTTCGATATAAACATAATGTTGAGCGTTTCGAATCAGTTCACTATAAGCATTTTGAATGCTATGTTCCACCAAAATACCACTGGACCAATCGGCGCTACTTCGAACGACTTGAGCGTGAACCGTTCCTTGCTGTCCTAATGATTTCGTACTCAATGGTGTAAGTGGATGATTGACATAATCTCCAACGGGATGTTTTGGTCTCTGTACTCCAACCAAATCTTCATTCTCACCATCTCTACCTTCAAGAATTAACCAATTGAATCGCTCGTCACGCTTATATTTGTCTCGTTTGACAAAATTCCATCTCAAAACGAAATGTTCCGCGATATCATAAACGCAATCTCCGACAACACCCATAGCAACATCATGCCAAGGCATGCGCCCATATTCAGCTTTTGATAATTCGTTGGCTTTCCAGTCTTTGACATCTTGGAAATCCATAACACGGTTGTTATTGAAATCTTGTCCTGGCCAAACTTCAGTTGCAATTCCTTCTGGATGTACATCGGCAAGAGGATGTTGATGGTTATCCCATCTTCCAAAACATAAATCCAAACCACCAATAAATGCTAAATTGTAATCAATTACAATGAACTTTTCGTGATGAGCCCAGTAAAATGTCATATCAGCCGCATTTTCGAGAACGTTATGATCAGGATGTCGCATAATCTGAATATTTCCATAACCTGGAGTTCCTTCGGGACATAAAGCTTGAAGAGCATGTTTCGTATGTTCAGAATTACAAGTCAGAGCAGCCTACCAAAGGAAGTCAATCAACCAAATCTCTCGCATTGCAATCGCAAAACATACCTCGACTTCTCGATAAACAATAACGAAAATCTTGACTCCAGCTTCCGCTCTCCGTTTAAGAATTTGATCCAAACGCCATTGTTGATTGTAATATGGAGGTCGGCGCAAGAATAACTCGGGAGATAACCACCAATCCGCAATATATATGGTTTCCTTTGCAGCTTCGAGCGCAACTGATACAGCCCAGAAGTAATCGCGTCCATCCACATACCACTTTATGTTATTTCCTGGTCTTTCTGGCGCAAATGATTCGAAACGATGGGATTCTGCGATCCTGGATCTCTTTTCATCTGTGATCTTTTCGTGTTCTTCGTCATGACGATGATTTGGATTAAACTATGTGAGAATTAGGATTTGTTCTTAGATCAATGGGAGAAGAAGGGGAGAAGAGGAAGAGGAAGCAGTAGAAGAAACACAAAAATAGACCGAAACCTACCAAATTTCCCAATTTGCCAATCTGATGTCTATATGGGATAGTCAATAAACAGCAACAACATCAAACAACAAACATCCAACATTTCCCCTCCCCCATTCTTCAACTTACTTCTTCTGAATCAACCCAACCTTCACATCATGCAGTTTCGTATCATGCAACTTCTCTCTCAAGCTCGCAAACGGATTCTTCATCTTCTCTTTCAATTTCGAAGGATTCGATCCGCCATCTGCAGGAGAAGCAGTTGACATAGTGAGGGTTGCTGGGTGATATATCTACCTAGTCTCTGAATACTCGCAGAATAGATAGATATGACTGTGCCGCTTGAATCGAGGTCGTGAGCCCGCACGTAAAGCTGAATACTTGGGTACTTGAGTATACTTATGAACACCAAGTCTGCGAATGTCAAGGACAGAAAGAACAGAACCCTTGATATTCTCGACCAGCAGAAAACAACTCTCCTCGGGTTTCGAGTAAACGATGTCAATTTCTTTCTTTTTTTTCTTGACAATCGAATGAACGAACGAACGAGGGGTTGGATGGGAATGGCGGGGCACCAGAAAGATGAACCAAAGCTAGCTACCGATTTTCCCACTATTTTCCCGGAGTAGCCTTGTCAAGCTTTGCCTTGCTTCAGTCTTGGAAATACGTCACTGTGTGCCTAGTGATACCACCAAACCCTGGATTTTAAGCTTAATTTTTTGGGTTACTGTGTAAGGGTATCATGTGTGAAAAATTCATTATATACGATTCACTATATTTGATTTTATTGTATTTTTTTATGTGGTGTCTGATTGATTTCATTTTACCCTCTCAATTAACAATTATTCCCAATATCACTGTCCTACGAGTGTAAGAATGTAAGTTTCTTTCAAGTACCAACCATCTTCCACTGTGTTCACTCAAACGCAATCAAACCTTAACCATAACAGCTGAAAACGGGGTGTACCGCCAAACAATGGCGTGAAAGCAGTCTGCCAAGAAGGACATTCCCGCGAGACCCGAGACTCTTAAGCCCACTGGTTTAATATTGATGGTTATATTCTAACAAGAATGGGATGATGTATGGGATGGGTGGTTTTGCTGTTGGTTAGTTACATGACGATTCAAGTATCCTGTACGAGTGTATTATCACCATCCAGGAAACAAGATGTCTTTCTCGTGGTTGAGGTTGAGGTAACATGTAACAGTCAAAGGCGCGGTACAACTTGTTAGATACAAGTAAATTGCTATTCATGATTCATCCATATCTTGCGAGTGCGGATTTGAGCAATGTGTCTTTGATAGATAGGTACCTATGCAGGTAGATACTTCATATACCTTTGAAATAGTACTGTAGCTATCCTGTTCGGCAAAGATTATGGTTGAATGAGAAGAACAATCACGATACCGCAATGTCAGAGTACTTACTGTTCAGGATATCTACAATATCAGACCAACTCAATAACTCAATAACTCAACAACTCAACAACTCAACAACTCTTCTCTCCTCGTCCTTTGCAAGCCCACAATGGTGCACGTGACGAAAAGGGATCTTTTCTTTACCAAGTAAACATATATCGTCGCTCTCTTCGAAGAGTTAAATGCCCATCCTGTCGAAAGTATCCAAACTCCCATGTACGTGCATCACTATGAGAGCCCAAAGCAAGATCTGACACTCATCCTTTAGCGTAATGTTCATAACCTTTTGGTACCGTATTCAGAACTAACGGTTGATACACTTTTCGCAACGGCAAGGCATAAAATGTAGTACAAAGTCTCAGAGTACTTGATGTCATCGGGATAACCCATGCCATACAAAGACAGCTCTTTCGATCTGTGAAACTCCATTGGCTCTCCCATTGGCTTTAAGATTCTTTCCAGTGTGATGTATGCCTACTTAATTTCACCGCAAGGATTATTAGCATATAGTGGCTCAATGGTAACATCCGTGATTCAACACAATCACCATCAGCAGAACTCCGACCAGAACAAAATACTGCGCCGTCAATTGCAGCCCATGACCAAGAAGGTGCTCGATGGGAAACAGCTCTGCGTGATGGTTGGTCAACATATCGTTCTCCATCTCTTACACGCCATTGCGTTCTGATTATAATGTTTCATTCCCATAAATCTGCAATATATCAATCACCTATTGCCATCGAGAATTTCTCGCTATGTCAGACAAGGCGACCAGCTTGTCACTTGACTTGGCGAGTCTTTTGCGAGAAGCAGCTTTCACGATAGAAGACCAGGACGACATGTAATAATGTAAATGACTGGATTCATGTACTTCTTCAATCACAAAGTTTCTTGCGAAGCTCTTTATAGCAAAGTCGCGGGGAATTCTTAAAGGTAAAGTTTCACAAGCGTTTAATTCGCGGCATTCTCAAAAGATTTGCGAGGCACTAAAATAAATTGTAGCAGGTGGGAGAAGACGCTCGCTCGTGGACTACCCATTTACCTCTATTCAATTGAGTTTTAACGACACCGCGCCGCCAAATATCGCTTCAGGAAGAGGTATATCTTGATTTAGAAGGCCAGTTGCATTCGAGTTCGATCAGTTCCATGGAAGCGGTATCCCGCTCTCGGAGGAGTCCGCCATTACTATCGGTAGAGTCCGAGGCTGATAGTATAGCCTGTCCGTATACATCGCTCATAAGAGAGGCTTCAAATTGCCAGTCTTCCATCGAATTGTGGACAATGCAGAGCGGGTCTATCCATATGTAGCGAGACTTAAGAGCACGCGTCACTGTAACAGCATCCCTAAATGGTCGAGGAACTGATGTTAAAGCAATATTCTTTTGAAGATGTAGAATGTTGCTTGTCGAAAGTGTTAAAAGATCACTGAAACCTCAGCAGTGACTAAGTGCTACGTAGAAAGTTCTTGTTGGATCAAGATCCTTGGTCAAAATCAGCTTTAAAGATGAAGAGCTCTCTGCTGCCCCCACGTCTACCAGTCTTGTAGGAAGCCAGTTTTTGTTCTGTCCTGTTTGATCGTGGCACGCTTGAATGCAAAGACTGCATTTCTCCCTACCCTTCAAGACGAGATACGAGCCTAGTACAGAACTATAACGTGTTTGTTTGGTAACGGAGCCGTCAGTTGACAATAACCTTTCCGGATCCCTCCGTCCATGTAGACAAATAAGACTTTCGCATAAATCACAAAGGACCATAGTATGAGAAGACCTTCCAAATTGTGTGGTTTAAAAGGCCGATGAGATTGAAGTTGTGGTCGCAAATTAATAAAAATCTATGTAATACTTTGATTTTAATATGCAGTGCTGATGGGTTGTTGCTTAAAGTAATATAATCATTTAGGAAGGAACCCTCGCTTTCCATATTTTTCCCACCAGGTATCTCCAATCCCTTAATTCAACACCGATAATCATTTCCCGCTCCTTATTACACACTCTACAAATTATTTTCAGAATTTAAACGAAAGGTACATATTAAGCCAACTTCTCACCAGCCTTCGACTCATCGATGGCACGAGTTACGAGTTGAGGTTCAGCATGTGATTTATCCGCATAATCTCCAGCCGAGAAAGAACCCGTTGACGAAGTGTTGATCGGTGGGTCATCGTGCCAAAAGTCTTTCTTTCTATTGGAAAATATTAGCATCTGATTTCTTAACTTCAAGGATGGCTCAAGAACTTACCCCTTCGAAGCTCTTACAAGCCAAGCTGGCAGAATACCACCCTTGATCTTGTATGACCATGGCTCCTTGAACTCCTTATCGTATGGGACAATACGACCACCGGAAATCTTCTCCAATGCCCAAGTTGTGGTGTTGATAATCATGTATGAAATGATACCGGCAATTAAACCGTATGCGATGGAATATGTGAATGGCATCACAGCCAATGTAATAAAAGCTGGTAGTGCATCGCCCCAATATTTCCAGTTAATGTCCTTAGCAGCTTTGCACATCATGGCACCGACGATAATCAGAGTGGACCCCGTAGCCCATGGCGGAATGGAAGCGAAAATAGGCGCGAAGAAGATCGAAATAAAGAAGCAAAAGCCGGTAACCATAGCAGTGATACCAGTTTTACCACCCTCAGAAATTCCAGCACCGGACTCAATGAATGCCGTAACCGGTGATAGCCCGAAAAGTGAGCCGATAGAAATGCCGAAAGCTGCATGCAAAAATTAGTGTGATTGAAACGAAAGGAGGTAAGTAACTCTCACCATCGACAAGATATGCGACAGCGGAACCTTCAAAATCTTGAGTCTCTTCATCAATAGCTCCGGAAAAGCGTGCCATAGAATATAGTGTTCCCGTACAATCCAAAATATCAACATAGAGGAAAGTGATGAATGCAAGGCCAAATTGTCCTGTAACGCCAGCTACGTTCCAGTCTTGTGCCACAAGTGTCTCCTGAATTCCATGGAACGTAACAACTTTCTTGAAGAAGTCAAAATTGGCATCACCGGTAGGATCGTTGTGTGGAAAGTAGGTGACCGGACTATTTCTTGGCCAGGAGGTGATCGCTACCAACAAAATACCAGCAATGATTGCACCCTTCACGCGATATGCCATGAGGATTGCAGTCACAAAACCACCGCAGAATATTCCAATCCACATAGTAGGCGAACGCATCTTAGTTGATCCAGGGCAAACACCAGTATCGTCGAAAGCACTAGCTACGCATCCTGCAAGTTCAAGGGGGGTAGATTGAGCCCCAGTAATGACTCCGAGACCTGCACTGTATCCAAGACCAATAATTGCTATCCGATAGTTAGTATCGGGATCTTTTCATGGTAATATTATACTTACTCAAATATAGACCGATTCCCACTCCAGAAGCGAGTTTGATGGAAGCGGGGATGATTCTCGCCAACCATTGTCTCAATCCAAGTAACGATAATGCCACAAACACAAAACCTTCAACAAAGACCGCAGTGAGGGCAAGTCTATATGAAACAGGCCCAAGCCCGTGAAATCCAACAACCGTGTAAGTAAAGTAAGCATTCAGACCCATCCCTGGAGCCAATGCAATTGGCATGTTTGCGAATAGTCCCATACAGAATGACGTTAGAGCAGAGATGGCAGCAGTTCCAGTGATGAAATCTCGACGGATGACTCCAAGACAAAGATTGTAGTCAACATCGGTGGTACAAGTAGGATCAGTCGTATCGGTACATACACAAGTTCCACCGCTATCGGTGAGAATGGTGGCATTAACCTGAATTCTCAATGTCAGCTGATGTCGACGACTGAGCCAACCCAACCTGCAGTAAAATTTCGAAGGAGAGGCTGTCCTTCTTATGATCGTGAATGATTGGATCAGGTGATATAAATGAAGAGACAAGAACATACAGAAATAATGTATGCCATTGCGAAGAATGTCGCCAACCCAGCACGAATTTCTGTCAGAAATCTTGACCCCTCTCTCGACTTTACATGACCAGAACCTTCAAGACGAAATCTTCTTCCAACGATGCTGCCAGCAACAGCATCGTTGAGTTTGGTATCCCAACCAACCATGATCAACCAGGAAATTCTCGGCGAGATGATGAAATGGAGTGTAGTTGAATCTTTGGTCGGTTCGTTCCGAAACACAGAATTCAATGGAGACAAGACACTGTACCACAGCAATAACTATATACCCCTCTGAAATTCGCCCGCATTGAAAAGTCTTATCTTTCTGATAATCAAAAATTTGAAGATTCTATTTGTTCGTGTGGAAGTGCTGATTACCGCCAAGCAACCAAGCTGCTAACTTTTTGGCTTGGCCACTTGGCAACTCCGATATTGGCCCTGATTTACCAGTTAGACGTTCCAAAAGACAATCCTCACCGGACCTAGCCTCTCGATGGGCCTAGTATCATGCTAATGTGGTAAATTACCCCGGGCTGATATCGTGTTGCTTGATAACTTACATCCTTCATTATCATCTTGATACACTTCTGGTAACTCGATAGATATGGTGAGCGCTAAATAGATAACCTATCGTTTGGGACTCAGTACATTTAAGTCGGTCTGTAGCTTTCACGCCTACATCCGCACATCCATAAGGGGAGTTCCGAGGACTGAATATGCAATGGAGCATGAGATGCGGGGACTTTCAGCCTTAGAGACTTGATGGCCTATCCGGGGGTATGGAAAGTAATCATGGCTCATGTAGGAAATCTATCGATGAGCAAAGGAAAGATAGCCTCAGGTTTGCGGGAATCCATCAGAAGCTCAGAACACCCGATTGCGGCGTGTAGTGGCAAAGTATCCGTGCATTGTTACTAAACAAATGTCAAATCTGTATGTTCAGACTGAATGATTGTGATTGAACTTTGTTTGACGATGTATATGTATAATGTGCGTAGGGATATGGCTTCAATGTTCATATTGACATATCAATTGAGGGAAATGATATTACCATCTTCTGAAATCTGTAAAGAATGTTAATATTAATTGTGATAAGGAAAGCAGTTGCATTGAATGTTCATATAGCAGATAGATATCTTTGAAATTACCTGCTAAGATTTCTGGAAATCGAAAGTGCTACACACACCCCATGTAGGTCAATGTGCCTCGTTTTCCATAGGAACATCTGGTTGGATTGGGAGGTGATACTTCCTGTCATGGATCATTGGGTATCAGTCTTGCTCAAAGAATGAATACAAATATATGATTCAAAACATTGCTGTACTTCACTTATTTCCCGGAGAAATAAGGCCAAACAGAAACATTAAGCAGGAATGTATCAGAATGGCCATTGCACGTGATGCTGCACTCACGTTGAAAGATGATTAAGCGAACAATGAAGCTCCGATGTTCCGACTTCTTACAGTTTAGCTGATGATGATAAACTCAGTGCCACCTATGCCTTGGAGAATTTTGTGAATAGTTTCAACATAACCCTTTCACTTACCAACCTGCGCAATGGCGCCTCTAGTGGATAATCCCATGATTGCATCCGCAACATTGCATAATCCATGTGAGTAAAACCCCACCATTCAATAGATGGTACACGATTCTAACTGATCTTAGTACCGCTTTGGTTGCATACTTACATCTGGCCCTTCGCGATTATATGGCCTGTCTTCTTTCGATACTATCTCTCGCAAGATTTATACGATCAACATATCGGCGGGCAAGAATGGACTTTTGTGTGGTGTGGGACAATTATCACAGCGCAAAGTTTAGTATGGCTCAGCACACATTGGAATATTAACTTGAGATCTCTGTTCACTTCGACATCCGCAAAGTCTGTTTCAACTGCCCAGCTCATTAAGGTTCATCCTATCACGAATGCTGGATCTGCGGATTTCTGTAAAATAGACAGAGATAATGTAGGTTGATTGTTGTTCTCCCACAGTCGTCTTGACTAACTCCTCTTAAGGCTGGTGGAAAAAGCAATGTTTCTTTCCTATTTCAAAAACGTCGATTTCTTTACGATCCATCGAAGAACTCGTTTGCCCCCTTGATATACTCAATAGATCAAGAGCCAAAGCCACTTTTAGAGACATATCAAAAGTCTAGAGGTATCGATTCAGCATCTGAGCTTTCCAGAATTCATCAACATTATGGCGATAACACTTTCGATATCCCGGTCCCTACTTTTTCAGAATTGTTCAAAGAGCATGCAGTCGCACCATTCTTCGTCTTCCAAATCTTTTGTGTTGGGTTATGGATGTTGGATGACTACTGGTACTATTCCTTGTTTACCCTGGTCATGTTGGTAGGATTTGAGAGTACAGTAGTCTGGCAACGCCAAAGGACCTTGACCGAATTTCGAGGAATGAGTATCAAGCCATACGATATTTTCGTTTACCGATTGAACAAATGGGAGGAAACTCAAAGCGATAAGCTTCTACCAGGAGATCTTGTTTCAGTTGGCCGAACCAAGGAAGATAGTGGTGTAGCTTGCGACATGATTTTGGTTGAAGGAAGCGCCATTGTGAACGAAGCTATGCTTTCTGGAGAAAGTACCCCACTATTGAAGGATTCAGTGCAACTCAGACCCGGTGATGCAGTCCTAGAGCCAGAAGGTCTTGACAAGAATGCATTCCTTTATGGAGGAACGAAAGTTCTACAAATTACACATGGAAATACCGATGAGGAAAGACCAAAGATCGCTTCGGGCGTTCCATCTCCCCCAGACAATGGTGCTATGGCCATTGTGGTAAAAACTGGATTCGAGACATCGCAGGGCAGCTTGGTTCGAACTATGATTTATTCTACCGAGCGGGTATCCGCCAATAATGCTGAAGCTTTGTTCTTCATTCTTTTCTTATTGATTTTCGCAATCGCTGCATCTTGGTACGTTTGGGATGAAGGTGTGAGAAAGGACAGAAAACGATCCAAGCTTCTGCTTGATTGCGTCTTGATTGTTACCAGTGTCGTACCTCCGGAATTGCCTATGGAGCTCAGTCTTGCAGTCAACACTAGTTTGGCAGCTCTTAGTCGTTATGCTATTTATTGCACCGAACCGTTCCGCATTCCATTTGCTGGGCGCGTTGATGTTGCATGTTTCGACAAGACCGGTACATTGACTGGAGAAGATTTGGTCGTTGAAGGTATTGCTGGTCTAGGTCTAGGTCATTCCGGTACCGATACCCCTCGTGAAAACGACGGTGCCCACAGCCATATCACTCCCGTTCTACAAGCTTCATTGGAGACCACGTATGTGCTCGCTACGGCTCATGCCCTAGTCAAATTGGATGAGGGTGATATTGTCGGAGATCCTATGGAGAAAGCTACATTGACTTCGTTGGGCTGGACACTTGGGCGAAATGATATTTTGTCTAGCAAAATTCAAACTGGTGCACCCTCATCTTCGGTTCAAATCAAACGCCGTTTCCAATTCTCGTCTGCTCTTAAACGTCAAAGCTCTGTCGCCTCATTGACCGCTCTCAATACCCAAACTGGTAAGAAGATTCGTTCTACTTTCGTTGGTGTCAAAGGAGCTCCAGAAACCATCATGAGAATGTTGGTCAAGGTTCCCGCGGATTACGAAGAAACCTACAAATACTTTACCAGGAAAGGATCGCGTGTTCTCGCTTTGGCCTACAAATATCTATCTACCGAGTCTGAACTTGGCTCTGGCAAAATCAATGATCTAAAGCGTGAAGAAGTGGAGAGCGAATTACATTTCGCTGGTTTCTTAGTCCTACATTGCCCTCTCAAGGATGACGCGAAGAAATCTGTACAAATGCTCAATGAAAGTAGTCACCGTGTCGTTATGATCACTGGTGATAACCCTCTGACCGCCATCCATGTTGCCAGAGAAGTTGAAATTGTGGATAGAGATGTCCTCATTCTTGATGCACCAGAGCATGATGATTCAGGGGAGAAACTGGTATGGAGAAGTGTTGATGACAGTATCAGCATTCCTGTTGATCCTTCCAAGCCTATTGACAAAAAGATCATTGAGAATAACGACTTGTGTGTCACTGGTTACGCCCTGTCTAAATTCAAGGATCAATCTGCACTTTCTACCATTTACCGTTATGCATGGGTATATGCTCGTGTATCTCCAAAACAAAAAGAAGAGATTCTTACCGGCTTGAGAGATCTTGGTTACCATACCCTCATGGCTGGTGATGGTACAAACGACGTTGGAGCCTTGAAGCAAGCTCATATTGGTATTGCGTTACTCAATGGCTCGCAAGAGGATCTCAACAAGATTGCCGAACATTTCAGAAACAACAAAATGAAAGAACTTTACGAGAAGCAATGTCAAATGATGACACGATTCAACCAACCAACTCCTCCAGTACCCATATTGATTGCACATTTGTATCCACAAGGACCTAAAAATCCACATTACGATAAAGCTATCCAGCGAGAAGCCGATAAGAAGGGTATTTCTGTGGCTCTCATGGAAACTGCTGCTAACAAAAACAAAACTGATGACGTGGAAACGATTACTTCGCCTGGCGCTCAAGCTTTGATCAATGGTCAGCAAAACAAGCCGACTTTGAATGATGCACAGAAGAAAGCGGCTAGTCTTGCTGATAAAATGACTCAAAGTCTGATGGAAGCAGAAATGGATGATGATGAGCCACCTACAATCAAGCTTGGTGATGCATCCGTCGCTGCCCCATTCACCAGCAAGCTGAGTAACGTCATTGCTATCCCCAACATCATTCGTCAAGGTCGTTGTACGCTTGTTGCAACCATTCAAATGTACAAAATTCTTGCTTTGAATTGTCTCATTAGCGCCTACAGTTTGAGTGTGTTGTATCTCGAGGGTATCAAATTTGGTGATGGTCAAGTGACAATTAGTGGAATGCTCATGAGTGTTTGCTTTTTGTCAATTTCCCGGGCAAAGTCCGTGGAAGGTCTATCCAAAGAAAGACCCCAGCCAAATATCTTCAACTTCTATATCATTGGATCTATCCTTGGACAATTCGCAGTTCATATTGTTACACTTATTTACATCGCTCGTTTCTGCGATAAGATTGCTCCGTAAGTTAAACCTTTCTTTCGCTTCCACCCGTGCAACAAGTACTAATGCTTTGTCAGACGTGACCCAGACATTGATCTCGAAGGAGAATTCGCTCCATCCCTCTTAAACAGCGCTGTCTATCTTCTTCAACTGATTCAACAAATTTCCACATTCGCAATCAATTATCAAGGTCGTCCATTCCGTGAAGCCATTTCCGAAAACAAAGGAATGTACTACGGTATCATTGGTGTATCCGCTATCGCTTTCTCTTGCTCGACTGAATTCATCCCTGAGGTTAATGAGAAAATGAAATTGGTTCCATTCTCATATGATTTCAAAGTAGTTATGACGACTACGATGATTGTGGATTATCTTGCTTGTTTTGTTATTGAAAAGGTGCTCAAAGCTCTTTTCAGTGATTACAAACCAAAGGATATCGCGATTAGACGGCCAGATCAACTCGCAAGGGAACAGAAGAGGATTGAAGATTTGAAGTTGGAGGCGATGAAGGCAGAGGAGGAAAAGGCTCAAAGAGAGATTGAGGAGTTGGAGAAAAAGATTAGCACGAAGGGTAGATCATGAATATCATCAATGGCAAAGTAGATACGATACGCAGGTAGATTGTATATTATAGATTACTATTGAGATTTTCATCATTCTGTCCGTTGTGTTTTAAAACTGTATACTTGATGGGTATTCGTTCATTTGGATTCATTTTTGGATCGATTCTCCCCGTGCTATGTAGCATCTTCTGCACCTCGAATTTCATTAAACTTTGAATAGATTCGTATATCACCTCCAAGCTGCCGAAGTGAGCTTCCTTCCAAGAATAAAAGAGTCTGGTATTAGATCTGATGGTCTCCATCATGGGATGTTTAAATGTTGATAGATGAAGGTCGGTCAGTCCAGCTAATTGAACATCGCATGGACAATTTAGATACCAAGTATCGGATATGAGAGATCGTTGATGGCCATGGATATGTGTCTGGATATGTGTATGTCCAATCTCTGTGTAAGCTAGTATCAAACACCACCCCTTTTCCATCGACATTGGAGTCCAATCAGAGCTCTCGAATTAACGTAGTATTTTCCTCATGCAAGAAGTAGATCTCTGCTATCCTTGTATGCACCTAGTCGTTAGATTCTCTGATCTTCGCCGCTTTGGAGTACAGGAGGAATTGACAAATGAAAGAGGTGCTCGGAGACCTATGTGATTCATAGGAGATGTAGAAACGGATGAGAACAACTTGTATGCACTGAACGAAAGATACATACTAGTGGATTTCGATTTTCTGGGGAATATTCAAATTGGTTAGAAATGAAGATTTAGAGTGTTTTTTCTTGGACTTTCTTTTTTTCGTAGTTTTGATAGAAATATGCCGCCAGAGAAGCTGAGAATTAGAGTTTTGAGGCTGAAGAGCGGCTAGCAGTGGACGTTCAATATTTCCTCGCAGGGGGCTGGAGCTTGTCCTAACTTACTTACTCGTCCTATCAGGTGATACAGAGTATGTAACCCTGAAGCTGGAAGTCTATATCACAAGATGGTGGACTATAAGAGGACTAATTCGGGTTCTGTTGGTAGTGGGGTTGCTTGGGTGCTGGCTGCACGCGGCATGAGTGAGTAGTAAGTAAGTCAAGGTTACTTCATCATATTTCATATCATTTGTGACAAAGTGTCATGCTTCTTCTGGGGTTCTTCGTGTGCATAGATCGGGTTTTTCGTTATTGTGATTTTCTACCCTCATGCATGCATGCATGGGGAAAAGTCTTGAGCATCCATCCATTCAATTTTAGAAACCCCAGCCAGTCGGCTCTTACACTCGATCTCGATTCTTGCTACGATGAATTTTGCGGAAGGAAAATCATAAGGAGAAACATTACATACAGTACAGTACATTCGTTCTTAAGCTCGCTAAAATACAAAATTAATCTTCCGGAACTGGAAGCTGGTCTATCCGCTCACAACGCTAGAGAATGATGAATCAAGGATATCGGCATTATCTCCGAATTCCATTTAGAAGCGGATGCGCGCGACCCGTTTGGGAAGTATGCTGTGTGATCACTGCAAACACCGGGGAGGTGAAACATGGTGAAATCTTCTTGTATGGACGGAGAATGGATGGGTTTGTGTAAGGGGTATGTCCGCTCTTGGCAAGTTGGAATTCTGTCGGATTGCTACTGGGAATCAGGTGTTTGGGAAGATAGGTTAGAGTTTCCCTATTTTTCGCAATTGCGTTTCGTGCTTTTATGGAGAAGGAAGTGTGCGAATGCAAAATGGAAATGATCATCAATCGACAGGCGGTGCGGATGGGAGGATCTAGATCCCTAACGTTCGTCTCAGGTGCCGGTGAATAACTCGAACGGTACTTGTTGAATTTCGGTAGTCAGGTATAGAGATGATAATCGCTGATGTATTTCATTTTCAATGCCGTGCATTCACAGAGAAGCTTGAGTTGAAGTATTACTGTATAGCCGTTCAAAGAGATGGAAATATCAGAATAGTTATGAAGAGCTCAAGTTTCATTCATAACTAATGCATACATAATCGAGTACATAAATATGGTATCTCTTCATCCAAACATGCCAAATCATCCATGCCAATTACTGACATGCTAAACATCCGAATCATTCACGCCAATCGCACTTCATGAGTCACCCCTTATGCACCCAATCCAAAAATTCGCTCCAAAATCTCATCATCACTTGGTCCATCACCCTTGATAGCTGCATAGGCTGGAGCCAAGATACTCTGTTCGATCTCTGTGATACGTCCATCAGATACGTATAAGATATCTCCTTCTCTATCAGTTGTAGTCATCAAGAATGCTGCGCTTCTAGCTACAACATCACAAGATTGCGCCTTGTGGGAAATGGCAGCCATGATACCATCGAGATCAGGCAAAACCTGGGTGGAAGTCCAGGATGGTGCGAGGGTGTTGACTCGAATGGGGAGTTTTGCTGCTTTGATGGTTCGTTGGATGGAGCGGCCGAAACCGAGGACTCCTGCTTTGGCTGCGGCTTGGGGGTTGTTAGTTTATTTTTCAATTTTGGGAAATGGGGAGAAGGGGGAGGTATCTTACAATAATCGGGTGCTCTCAAAGGTTGTAATCCGGTACTCGATCCCATGAGTACGATGTTTCCTCCCTGGGCATTTTGCTTCAAATAGTGGATTGCTAAACAAGTGGTGTTGACTACGCTCTTGAAGTTTACTTCCAAGACGTCATGGACTGGTTCCTTGAGATCTCCATTCTCGTCAGCGTCAAGGGTGATATAGTTTCCTCGAGGACCGATTCCAGCGTTGGCGAATACATAGTCGATGTGGGAGAATTTTTCGACAGCGGCTTTGAAGAGAGCAGCGAGGGAAGACCAGATAGTTACGTTTGTTTGGACGAAGAGGAAAGAGGGGGAAGAAATTGGCGTGGGGGGAGAGTTGATGTCTGCGCTGACGACGGAGGCTCCGAGGGATAAGAGGAGGTCGATGGTTGCGAGACCAATTCCAGAGGAACCACCTAGAATGAGGGGTTTTACGTGAGTATGAGGGGTTGTGAGGAGTAGATGTAAGGTACGCAGGTGCATTTAGGTGATTTTTATGTATGATGAGTGTACGTACCTGTCACAATGACAACCTTGCCTTTGAGACTGGCTAAGTCCTCGTTTTTGATAATGATTTCAGACATGATGTGTGTATGCATGTGTATGCGATTGGTGTTGTTCCGTGTGAATAGTACAATGTGATAGATTCTAATACAAAAGGAAAAGCTATGTATGGGAAGTTTACAATTGATATGACAGGAAACCCTCAAGGACAATAGCAAGCTTAAACAACCCCTCAAAACTCAACATGACAGCTGTTAGTGGGGCACTGGTCCCTTACCAGTATAGTTGGTCTACTCCGTGTACATTTGACACTTTATGCGGAACCTTGGGCTGGCCCCCTGAAGAGTACATAGCGCCGTAGACTACGAATAAAATGATTTTTAGGGTGGAGCGAATTAAGATTAGATTCATGGGCCACAAATCTTTCGTGCGAGGGAATTTGAAAACATGTGACCCAGATCTCCGACTTGGAGAAAAAAGTTGGATTCTGAAGCTTCAGGCTCGTGTTAAGCGACCCTGAACCAGGTACCCAATGAATTTCAAAACAAATATCGCCGACACACATACCAATGTGGATCTTAATCGCTTACGCAGAGTAATAATACATTTCATATTGGACTTCTAGGGCTCCACGCAAGTTGTGCGTGTTTTCATGGATACCCCCCATGCTGTTTATTTTTTCTGTATCACTTGTGTGGGAAACCGTTGGATATGCTATTTGGAATTGTCGATCTTACTGTAATTGTAACTGCCGCTGCGAGGGACTCTGTGGACATGTATTCCACTTTTGTTAAGATTTGTCTTGGATAGGACTTCTTGTCAACGATCTTGAGAGGGAAGCTCTGAGAAGACACTCCCTGGTGTCGATGAAGATCATGAGCCAATTTTCCAATAGGAACACATGGAAATGATATTCAGCGTAATTTGGAAAGTTCTTGCTTCGAATAAGCTTTCGATGACCTGGTGCTGATGGGTTGAGTCTGGACACCCTGTTGTTCACGATTCCATAATTAATCCAATAATGACTATCGATTTATACACCACCTAGCATTGACTCGAAGAACAGCTTTGAATTATGGAAATAGCTCTGGAACGAACAAGGAATCGGGCGCGGGTAAGAAATGTATTGCCGGTAGTTCTACTCATCAGTGATATATCGGTTCTCAGCAAGGACGCCGTCGAGAAAAGACTAATTAATTAACTCTGCATAACAATGAACCTCTCGAACACTAGTTTTCCCTTCCACTCTAGACTTTTATACATCCAGATATACCAAGTACACACGGTACATAAAAGTAGGAATCATATCCCTACCAAGCTACCACACACTAAAGAACTAAAGAAGCTCAGAACTTGGTCTCGGGCCCACCATGAATCGAGCCGAGCGAGGGCACTTGGAATTTTCATATGAACGCTCCCAAAGAGGAATAACAAGGACACGGTACCCATATGATTCGAGCCAGGAAGTCTCCAATTATGTCTTCTCGGACACTTTCCACCCTATCAGCATTCAATTCATGCCCAGGGAATATCCTAAAGTATCACGAAAGGGAGGGATCTGGAATGAGATCTTTGATCATTATGATATATCAAGACTGGGAAGGAAACTAAGTGCTAAGTAAGTCTAAGTAGATAACTACTGCACCGTACTTTATTTTCGCATTCGTGCAGTTGGATTCCTAACATGCATGCGCACACTGTCCAATCTTAGTATCAGTATCAGTATCAGTGTTTTTTTTTCCTCAAGTTTTTGTTTATCTTATCTTACGATTCTTACATACCTACTACCTGCTTTGTGTGTCTGGTGTGTCCGGTGTGATCATTGATCTTGATCTTGAGATCAGCTGGTTGGAGAAAATCGACGGAGTGTGGCGAAAGCAGAACCGCAAATATGTCAAAGATCGCAGGGGATGGAGTGGCGTTATTTTGGACCTCGATTATGTTGCTGGTGTTGTGTTGGATTACTTTTTCGATGCGTGCGGGTG